CAAAAAATGCTTGCTGGCTTCATCATTCAAGCTATGCATTTGTATAGGGAAGAGCTACTCCTTATGATCTCAAGGCTCAAATACATAGGGTTAATTATTGATAGGACCTTTGGGGACTAAAGAAAGATAAATTTGATGATTGAATCAACTATTATAGTTTATTATATTCCATAAAAGTCTTGCTGTTTTATAATTCCTCCATAGTGTAGTACCAGAAAGAAGATGTAAGGTTGTCCCAGATGGATTGTATCACGAGGTCCACAGAGAACTACAAGCTGTGCGATTATGTTGACAGGTTGTGAGATTGAACTAGTTCTAGGAGGTAAATCTAGACGAATAGAATCCCTATGTGTATGTACTATATACTGATCATAATATATATATTTAGGCTTTACAGAAGGTGCATATGAACTTAACTGTATATGTAGTATCCTTTTATTAGTAACATCCTTTTATTAGTAACATCGTGAACAATACTATTGAAAGAGAAAAATATTGAAACTTTTTAAGTGTTGGTTAGCCTGGTGGAACTGCAAAAATGTTGATGTACTGTCTGCCCTGTATGTGTTGTAGTTTAGCAATAAGCAATACAATACACATAAGTATACTTTGACTTTTGTAAGAACTTTGAAGTATCAATTTTGTAACCAAATATACACTTATACATGTAGGTATAAGCTACCCAAGACAAATGATACATTAGTGCTCATGGCCAACCCTTCTCATTTAGTCCATCTAGGGAATTTAAGAAGTACATGTTTGTAAAAGAAGAAGAAGAGAAAAGGATCGGTAACCTACTGGTGACATTAAACATGCCCTTCAATCATGTAACATTGAGCATGAACATAAGTGGAAGCGTTGCAGGACCAGTAACAAAATATGGTTGTATCCTCTCTCCGATGTCACTGCACATTACTTGAATACAAAATGAGAAAAAGGAAGACTTTTGCTACCACTCATTGCCCAATTACTTGACAAACCATGTCCTGTCAGTTGACATTGAACTATGACCTTGACACAACATGAGATAAACAGAATCTGCCTGTCACCTGTACTGTAAGGGTTGTATGACATAAGGTCCACTGATGATTGCTACAAAGTGAGTTTCTAACTCTAGATGAGTTCTTAACTTCAACTTTAGAACTCAACTATGAACCTAACACCATAGGTCTGCATATTAAACTCTAACCCTGTCTTATAAGCCCATCTTAAAACAAAACCACAACCCCAATCCTTCAATTTGTTACACGATAAAGCCTGGACAGAGTTAATAGAGCATATTTATTGGATATATTTGTATATTGGACCATCACTGCAAGAGAAAGGGTGGAAGAGAATGGATGTGTGCCTCTCGCATCTTCTGAAGTTCTGGGATTGTCTCATTCCTTAGGCAATGTCGCATATTGGCCCCCAAAATATAGTACATGAGAGATCGTTTTGACCTTCTGGAGAAAAAGGAAAGACAACCAAATTTTGTTTCCCTTGCTTCAGCTGTCATGGTTGGGCACCTTCTACCTGCCCACCCCAGCTGCCCTGAGCGCCGTGACCCACTGTGTGCATTAGCTGAAGACAGCAGGCCACATTACGCTGCTCTGCAAGGATATCTGTCCTATTTGGACTAGGAAAATTAGGTTAAATCAAAGAGGGGAATGTGAGCGGAGAGCATCGACTGAGTAATCTTAAGGACATCACAAATTTCATTAGGTTCTAGATCTGACCAGTGGAATCTTATCACTTCATAGATAGTTCTGTCAAGTTCTATTTTCTTGAATTGTTAGCACATGACGAATATTCTAAATGTACCATAGATGTCTTTAGATGACATAGTCATGAAAATCAAGTCAAATTTTGAAGTCACATTTGGTATGTCATAGTCTGTTGAAAATGTTTTAGTGGAACAAATTAACTTTAAATGCCCTCTTTTTAATTTGTTTGTGTTATAATGTCCCATATTGCCTTTCTCCTATAATTTTTTTTATTTTCCCCATCACAGTGATTTTTTGTCAAGTAAAAGTGTTCTCAGGGATTTCTTATCAACCCACTGATGTAGTTAGCACAAGTTATATCTCATATTTGTCCTTGTAGTTCAAGTGTGGGATAAAAATTGACCCTCAGATATTGTTATCATTTGAACTCTTTAGAAACCACTGGCCATAGTGGCATGAATAATCTTAATAGATGATAGCAATATCAGAGAAAGAGAGAGAGAGGTGGGAGGGACACAGAGAGAGGTGGGAGGGACACAGAGAGAGGTGAGAGAGGTTAGAGAGAGAGAGAGAGAGAGAGAGAGGGGGAGGGGAGGGGGGGGGATAGGCAGTCAGAGAAACACTACAGAGGCAGGACAGATCCAGAGATGGACAGAGAGAATGAGAGGGGGAAGTAAGAAGTGACAAGAAATTTGAGAGAGAAAGAGAGACAGAGAGAGAGGGAGAGATTAAGAAATAAAGAAAGAAAGAGGGGGAAATGAGAGGGGAAAGAGGGAGAGCAAAATCAAGAGAATGAGAAAGCAGAATCAAGACAGGGTAGAGAAAGAATAGAGGATGATGTGGAAGGACAAAAAAAGAGATAAAGACCGAAGGAGAAAGATTGGGGTCAAGAGATGACAACATTGAATGAGTAGTGTAGAACAGAAGGAGGGTTAATCCTATGCCCATCAGCAAAATGTATTGACTCTCCGATTAGTCAATCCATGATCAACCACATCAAGAGATAAGAAAACCATCAGGAATGTTCTAATATCTGCCTTTTTCTTGTCTTCTTCTTCAACTGTGACTTGAGGCAAAGTCACTGTAGGACTGGACCACCAGAGTGGATTGCATCAATTGCTCCAACATGGCATTTTCTTTCCGTTTTTCAACCATTTTCTCATCTTTTTCCCTCATCTTGTCAGGATGATGACTTTTGTCTGTGATGGTTTTCTTCCCTTTTCTGATGGTTTTCACCCCGTCCCTGGATGTTGTTTCATGTGTGTGTGATGTAAGAAAGGAAGATGGCTGTCAAAGCTCATCCTCACGACCTTTGACATGGATGGAGGAAGTCTTCGTCTTGGTGTTATGCTCAACTATTCTTCTAAAAAAATGCATCACCTAATCATTTTGACAGGAATTCTTTAAGTTATCAAAATTTTCTTAATATTCACAGTAGATTTGATGAAACAAAGAGCCCCCTCCCCCACACTAGCAAACACTCACATACCCCACCCCCTTTTCCTTGTTGTCTTTTTTAGGGGGAAGAAGTAGCAATCTTCATTGTAACTATATACCAATGATCTTCTGGTCTATACTAATTTAAAAGCTGAAAATGTCTGTCCCTCTCTTAAAGAATATTAAATTGGATGAGGGGCTGACACAATCAAATAATAAATGATAGAAAATGTCTCCTTCTCGACTTGTCTGAATGCTCCCCGTTAGCGTAGATAGGAGAAGACCATTTCTTGGCTAATTCGTAATGATTCATGAAGTAGACATTAACTTCATTCTGCAAATGATCTTTTTCAAAACCCCTCATCATACATGTACGTCATATTGTGAGCAAGCAGCCAGTGACTAAGGAGAACACAACCAATATGTGGCCTAGTTGAAGAAAACCTAATACTTTGGATTAGATGAATGAGAAAGTGAAAGCCCTTATAGCCCAAGTTAACAATATCCACATGCTCAATATCATAACTTGATATGATAGATCCTAACTCATGTGGATGTCATTAGTCAGCAATCGTTTCCAAATGAAAGATGAAAGTGATATTGAGCTAGGAGAGTCACTCAAGGTTTGCAGAGAGGAGAGGAAAGAGGCTGGCAGGAAACTTTGAGATCATTATTGCAAAGAATATTTTATCTGGGCTTTTGTTGCAAATGAGGATGAGAAGCAAATATGAGTCATCTTTTCATCTGTCCAATATTACGTTTAAGTATTGTAAGTCTTAGATGCCTCGTTTGTAGAAAATGTATAAATTTGATGGTGGACAAAGGGAAGAGCAAAGGGTTCTTGGAAGTTCAAAAAAAGTAATTTCATTTCCAAATCGCTGTGCTCTACTTTATCCCCTCATTTCCTTTCATAACATTGACAGTCACTAACTTCCCTTATCTGTAAAGCATTCCATATACATGCCACCAGAAATATCCAAGGCATGGTATAAAAAGAGGTGTATATTGATGTTAGGTGATGTAATTTCCGGAACTGTGACGTCGTGGTCGAAGGTTTGAAAGCATTGCTACATCATTGTGTGAACGCTGTTAGCATGCCACCCATATAGGACCCCTTTCTGTGTGTTTTCATAACTGGGGGTGTCAGATATTGATTGTTGTGTTTCAAGATAATTATGGAAAGAAAATTGTGGTGAGATAAAAACCAACAATTAATGTGCTAATCTGAGGGATGATGCTTCAAGGGCACTACTCTTTATCTCTCTGGTTCTTTTTATATCTCTCCCCCTCTTTCTTTTTCTCTCCCCCTCTTTCTTTTCTCTTTCTCTCCCTCATTGTGTCTGTCTTTCGTGTCATTTCTCTCTCTCTCTCTCTCTCTCTCTCTCTCTCTCTCTCTCTCTCTCTCTTTCTCTCTCTTTCTCTCTCTCTGTCTCCCTCCCTCCCTCTCTCTCTCTCTTATCTCAAAACTTTGTTTTCTCTTTGCCTTTCTCTCTTTATCTTTTATTCCATATATCTCTTTCACACAGTTCTTTTCTATTGTAATTTTTTCATCACAAACCCTCCCATTCATTCTTCTGTGTACCTTTGATGGTACATTTTTCTCTATATTTGTGTAATAGTTTGTATATTAATGGCTTTATCCGTCTTCTGCTTTGTATTTTACAATCCAATTAATACATGGTATGAAACATTGTTGACACACATGACACTATTACTTCTTAGCTTCTTAGCTTTGAAATAAAGAAGCAAATTCTGAAGTATGATGATAAGATGATGCCTTCGGGTTTTTCATCTGGTTTTTTATTTCAATGAATTTTAATGAAAATGTTGTATTTCTTTTTCTTTGCCATCTTTTAGGTTGGAGACAGTCTACAGAGGAAGATGAGAATGAGACCAGACAAAGCTCAGCTTGTACATCAACACATACTAGAAGGTACAGCCAAGGATCGCATCTTCTTGGGTGTGGTCTGTGTGAGATGGAGAGGATGAGAGTGAAGATAGTGTCAGGAGTGATTGTAATGATAATGATGATGTTGATATTGTTGAAGAGGTTTCAGAAATGGGTGAAATGATGCTGATGATGTTAACAATGTTTGTTATGCTGATTGCATAGGAGATGATGTTGCTACTTGCCAGTGATGATGGCTATGCAAGTTCAATCCCATCGACTTATGTCATAATTGAAAACTATTAAAGCGTAGATATTGATCCATAAACAGATATTAGGAAATACATTCATTAAGCAGTCTGCTTATTAGGGCCTTTTGTAGGCCTTCTGTAGGCCTTCTGTGTAGTACAAGTAAAATAAATTACTTATGCTATGAATTAGTAGGTTGACATCATTTTGATGATAAACTAAAGAATACAGCTCATGGTACAATTGATAGCTAAAGGAATGACTATAATGTAATTGCATTTAATGGAACTTGGTTTGGAATAATGGGAAACATCAATGAGTTTCATATACATGTATCTTAAAGAGGGTTGAAAGGTCATCTTTGGACTATAAATAGACCATTTAGAACCGAGCTCATAAGTTGTTGTGACTTTCCATTTTTTCAGATACGAACATGGAGCCTATGGTGAGTGCGACACATCAGAGACTAAAGAGGGCCAGGATAGAGCAGGACCTGGACTGCAAGATCAAAAATAGACCAGGTCCACTAGAGCTGATTGAAGGGAACATCCTGAAGGCAGAACAATTTGTGGAGCAGGCCGTCAAAGGTAAGTTCATCGATGGAGGTTAAAGCCCCACTGCACTACTTGTAGCTACTTGCTCCCTCTATATAGAAAAGAATGCCTAATCGGTGACCATTGGTCCCCCATGATCCCCTTTTTCTTATGTTAATTGAGAGCTGATTTGATGAGGTAACCGCTTTTCAATGACCTTGCAAGGAGGTCTAATCCCTCCTGGCTAAACTAGTACATAAAGGCTTTAAAGGAGGTAAATCATTATTGAGAAATTGTTTGTCAAGATGGTTAGCACGGTGACCACAGACAAGGAGACATAGGCTAGAAGGGAAAAAAGGTCATATTTTGGGTAAAGCCCCAATTTTGAAGTGAATGATTTGAGTAGATGGGTAATCTATCAAGGTACAGAGTTGGGAGAAGACCCTGGCTATACCCCCCTCCCCCTCCCCCTCCCCCTCCCCCTCCCCCTCCTCCTCCACAAAGACACACAATTATAAAGTCAAAAATAGAGAAAGATGTGAATAGAGGAAAATACCCTCTAATATGAGAACAATTTCTGGTTCTTGGGAAAGCTACAGCCCGTTAAATTGAGAATATAAAGTTTGTATTTTAGCGACTTCTTCCATGCGTAAGTCTTATATGGAATACAGTATGTAACCACCCTGAAACAGCCTGGGCTATAAGTATGTGAGAAATATGTAAGATCAGAAGTATTATATGTTTCTGATATTTATTGTTTATATATGTTTCTTTTCTTTCAGACGGCAAGGTGAAGTTCCTGAAGACAAATGAAATGGATACATGTGATGACTCACCGTATAACTTTGATGAGGACAGTCAAGAGGGGGGTAGCGATGAACCCATGTCACCCCCTCAGCTATACTCACAACAGTCTGATAATCCTCCAAGCAGTGTGGGGAGTATACCTTCACCCCCGGACTTTACTTCATACTATGAACACCACATGATTCCTCCTTCAATAACTTCCAGCAGCCCCATTCAGATTAAGATTCCATCGACCCCTCCGACGACGATGTCGATGATCACGATAAAGCAGGAGCCGGGCATCACCAGCCCTCCTCCGATTGTCAGCTATCCCAACACGGTCACGTCATCGTCGCCGTCGAGCAGCAAGAGTGGGTCATCGTCGTCGAGCTCGAAGAATGCAAGGAAGAAACAGACTAAGAGGAATAAGCCGAAGGAGATCAAATTCCATGAGTACAAGCCTCCTAATGAACAGGCAAACAAACTTGAAATTCCACCAAATGCCAGTAATCCGTATAACTTGCTGTTGATGCAGCAACAACTGCTTCTGCAACTTCAGCTGTTGCAACAGCAACATCACCAACTTATTCTACCCAATGCTCCAAACATAAGCACAACTTCCAGCAAACTCTTGAGCAGCAATCATGGGTCCCAATCTCCAAGTAGTACCACGGTGACCAGCTCGTCCTCACCGACACCTCAGGATAACAAGTCTAGCGTGGCCAACTGCACCAAGACAAGGATCCTCTCCAACCTGGAGGACATGAAAGTATCGGAGTTAAAGATGGAGTTGAAAAACAGAGGACTTCATGTGTCTGGCACAAAGCCTCAGCTTGTAGAGAGGTTACGCCCCTATGCTGATGTTTCCATGTCCCCTGTCACGACGGCAAATTCCTCTAATCACGATGTCACGTCCTCTTCAAGAACAAGTGGCACCAAGGTGACAAGTTCCACTGATGCAGGCCAGGAAGTTGCTAGTGAGACAGGCAGCGCGAGGGCATCCATGAGTTCACCTCCTGTATCGCCTCCCGACTTCAAATCTCCAGTCTCGGTCTCAGCTTCTGAGATGTCTGACCCTGCTTCTCCTGGCAGTGCCTTTGATCCAATGTCCCCTTCCACATTCCAGATGGCACCACCTCCATCGGTCACCACCAACCCCAGCTCGGTTGTATCGGCTTCCTCACCAACCAACGTGTTCAGCCCTAGCCCTGAGGCCCAACAGAAGCAGCAGAACCATACCAACATCCAGATGCTCAACTCTTTCCAGAATCAAACCTTTCAGATGGAGTTGAACGACAGCAACTCTGTCATGGAACAGATGATGGACATGACTGCTCAGCTGGCATACAGCGACTCGACGGTCAGCAGTGATATTCTACGCAAACAGCAGCAGAAGATCGAAGAGCTTCAGAGGGCCCTTAGGTTATCGCAGCTGCAGCTACATCAACATCAGACGAGCTTACAGTCACCTCTCCTCAGTCCACCGTCAGTACCGCCACCACCACCACCTCCTCATCCTGCTGCTGCTGGAGCTACCGTTTTATCACCCATTTCTGGTTCTCCCATCAAGCTAGCGAGCATCAATCCTCCTCCTCCTCCACCTCCTCCAATCAGCATCTCACCGACCTGCAATCCTACACCAACAACCATACCATCAGCCATCCAACAGCCACCCCCTCCAATAACAGCAGTTCACATCAAGGCCCAGTCTCCCCCGAAGCAGTCGTCCCCACCCGTATTCCAACCTCCAGACTTTTCCCAAAGCCTTAACCAGCAGCAGAGGACATTCACCTTCACCACGCCTCCACCCAACGGTCAACCCTTCTTCTTCTCAAAGACAACTCCAGAGGTCAAACCATTGGCATTGTCTAATGGACTTGCGTCTGGTCAGAAGTCATCATCCTTGCCCAGCAGTCCGACCGATCCAGAGACAGTGCTGGGTATAAGTGGTGGGGCTAGTCTACCGGCCTACAACAGTCCGCCACCCAACTATGAAGAGGCTGTCAGACAGACCAAGGAAAGAAAGGTACGTACTTACAATCAATCATGACCATTCCAAATCTTATCAAGTTCTCAGTCGTTCAGAAATCTTTAATATTTTTAACAAAATTACAATTTCTCTTCATTTTGTAAACAAAAAAAGGGGGAAAAAATGTTGTAATTATGTGCAGGAATTACAATCCCAACTGTTATTTAAGTTCATATTTTTTATTAAACGAAAACACACAATGCATGCATGAAAACATTGTCCGGTTATCAATTTTAACTGTATGCCATCAAAACCTATGCATAACTACTTCAAAATAAATATACATGTACCAGCTGCAAACTGATAATTAGAGTAAAGACATCTCAAGTAATCCCACGCTCTGAACCTTCACATCTCTCCACTAGGCTAACCTTGGCGCGCTTCTGAACCCTACCAACACGGAGACGGGAGAGCCTAGGATGACCAAGAGCCAAGACCTTGATGATCTCCTGGAAGTCCTGGTTGATCATGGATGTAAGTACATCAAATCAGGAGAAAATCTGAAAGAGCAAATGCTTGAAAATATAATGTTTGCTTTATTTGTTGATCAATAATTAAAGATGGTTTAGTGTAAACAACATCATTATGGATATGACTGTATTTTGATATTATAAAACAGTACCTTTAGGAGCAATATGTCAATTGATGTCCACAATTCAATGATTCAATCGCACAATACCTGGAAACATATGCAACATATCTTGGAACATGCCCTCTTTTATGTGAATGAACCTTTGATTTCAGCACATTTAAATGTCCTGGTAGGACCCAAGTCCATGACTCGCTTGTAAACCGTTATACCTTTCGACATGAGTTCAAACACTTTCTTCAGCTTTTTGCTCTATTAAGTCGGAGCACCCTCCTAATGATAATTTTAGGACATTAAGACCCTTCTAAATACTTGGTAGTTGAGAGAAATACTTGATCGTATTAGGTATTTAATTTTTATCTCTCTACTAACTCTCCCTGATAATTGCTTCTTTATTTTATTTCCATCCACAGATCAAATCCCAGTAACTCCCAAGAATAAGGATGTGATTAACCTGAGTCAAACCAGACTCCCTCCTCCACACATCTCTCTGCCAAGCTTCACCATGGCGACAACATCTTCCAGCCAAAGGCTCACACAGGCAGTAGTGTCCAATTCGACAACTACCAGCCATCATGGTATGCCACAGAGTCCAATGTCTCATCCTCCTCCTCATCCACCACCTCCTCACCCCCAGCAACAACAGCAGCAGCAACAGAAGCAGCAACAACAGCAGCAGCAGCAACAACAACAACAGCAGCAGCAGCAGCATCACCATCCAGCTGCGGCGACACCCATCGCCATCCCACAATCTTCTTCTGCTCCTTCTCCATCCCCCATGGAGCTTCCAATGGATGTAGACACGGCCGACATGACCCTCAATGCACTCGACATCGGTAAATCCCAGCCGAGCATTAGCAAGGAGCAGCATCTAGTGTCGTCGGCCAACATGGATGATAAAGACAATGCCAATATCCTGTCCTTTGATATACCAAGTATGCAGGTAGATGGCGAGCGGGACAGCACGACTTTCTGGGCGTTCGGGGACCACCCATCGCCCAGTGCTGGGATGCTGTGTCCGCCGTCAAGCAACGATGCCGACATGAATTGGCTGGATGTGATGATGTCATCATCGGGATCGGGGCTAACCCCCGTCAGTGTGACCCCACCCACTGGCATCGACGCAGAGGGGTCACTAGGGACACCCCTAGGCAAAGAACCCTTTTCTCTCAACCTATTTGATTTGAATGACGATGCTTGGGACAATATACATGTCACCGATTGATGATGGTATATAGTATGCTCCTAATTTTTGTACCGTCCCAGAGATCTTATGAAGCAAAGCATCGTCCTGTGACCATCCTCCTTGTTCGATCAGAAGTGCAGGCCAGAGGATGACCTTGAAGGCATCATTGATAGTGACCGTTTGGTTTGGAAGAGGAAGAAGACAGAGATTCAATGATGAAGGAAGTGCACTGTCGTTATCTGAACTCTGGGACATGAAGCCAATCATGACATTTCCAAAGGTCTATCATCGCCATTTCATCCAGCGCTGAAAATACAGTCCCTTTTGCTTTGGAACAAAACATCACCGGAATTTTCTTTCTTGCGCTGGATACGTGCTATGAATGGCGATGCTGACAGAGACGTTGATTTATGAACGATTCCAAATTTTCTTATCCTCAATTTGTGTGATGAATATCTGTTAGACGTCTTGAAACAAGTTAATTGCAGTTGCAATACTAGTATGGTGGAGAAAATGTATGCTGTTGAATGGAGTTTATTGTGTTCAGGTGCCTTGACATATTTGTGTCATTTTGCCAAGGAAAGTTTGATATACACAGATGTAAGCATTTACAATTCACACCTTTGTATGTGATGGAGGTTGATCAGGGAGATTTTGATCTCTGACTATTTTGAAGAGAGAGGAGCTGAAGGACTCAAGTTTTATTTTTTGAAAGAAGGATTCTGCAAAGATTTTCCTCTGTGTGGTTTGAAGAGGGAGAAAAGAGATTAATTCGGTATTCATCACATTGAAGAAGAGAATGATTCTATGATTCCTTTAAAAATTATTCGTTTATTCTTGTCTTGTTGGTCTGCTTTAGACCATGCTGCTACGCACTTTGGAACATATTGTTCTCAAGATTATCTGAATTTCAATGTCATTGGGCTGGAATTCTCAAATCTTGCTAGGTTTGTGGCCTCAAGTTTGCCTATGTTTCGCCATAGTTCAACATTGAGAGAAATTATGTTTCAACAGAGTATAAGGTTATCAGAATTTCAATTGAAAAGACAGAAATTCTCAAATATTGCTAGGTATGTGGCCTCAAGTTTGGTTTTGTCTTAACATACCGTAGTTCAATTTTGTCAGATTTTCAGTCGAGTGAACTGGAATTCTCAAGTCTCGCTAGGTTTGTGGCCTCAATGTTTGTTAATGTTTCAGCAGAGTTTAAGAGTTTTATTTAGTCACATGTAGCTCTGTGCAGCGAATGGAGGAGTAAGAAAACATGTGCACTTCAGATATTAGATAGTATTTATTTTTGTGGATTCATATTTATGTTCATTTATAAACTCATAAATGGGTTGATGTATGGTTTGGTATATATGTTTTTATTTTGTGTGGCAATATATGTTTAGTTTCTTTATGTTGTCATGATTTGATATTTTTTGTTTTTTTTGTTCAAGTGCTTCATTTTTAAGTCAAGTTTATGAGAGTACCAGATTGATAAGCAAACAATCATTATATTTGTGTATTCAAATTCAGTAAAAATCTGCAAAGGCTTCTTCACTTTATTTGATTCACGTAAGGAACAATTCAAGAAAGAATAAGATTAGTTTCTTGGAATTTGTGCTTTGAATTAGATTTGACATAACAAGAGGTATATGTGGTTTGTTTTGGACTATAGATTCATATTGCATTGAAGAAAGTTGTTGTTATATGGGAGCCAGAGAATATACTAGGCCTGCAAGAGAAAACTATTACAAATAAAGCGAGATAACCAACAAAAGATAATCATTATTTTCAGTACCGTACTCCAAAAGATTTACAGCCAAAATGCACCATGAAGCCCTTCTGTTCTGCAGCCAGAAATCCATCTCAACGGTTCATGTGTTCAATACAGTAATGTCTTTGGATTAGGAATGGCTACAATGCCCTAGCCAAAACAGAAAGAGGTACATCCTTGTGAATTTCTTTCCCACGGAAGATATCATGCAGAAGTAAACAATGGAACAAACTATTTTTTATCAAAATTTAACTCTCGAATTTAGCTTCTTAAATTTGTTCCTATATTTAGTGGCACAGAAGGAATCAACTACAAACTTGCATCATGGTGTTGAAAACCGAGTGTGCTCTCTGAGGAGAAAGCCATGTGCATCTCGTTGCAGTTAGATTCATTTCAATGACTTCTTTTGCAGGCCTAGTAGCTATTTGTAAAGAAGGCTTACTCCTTTTCCTTTCCATTGAATTGTTCTAGCAAAAAGCATTCCACCTCGTCTTAAAAGATAGGGGTTACCAACATGTTCTGTCTATTTCTTGTGTTCTATTTCTACTTTTTTCTCTTCTGTTCTTTCCTCTTCTCGCAAAGATGCTTTAATTTGGAATGTAAAGTTAAATCAGAACATATTGGGTTTATACCCGAGCTTGAACATATTTCAGGTTGCTTGTTGTTTTTTTTATTTCCAGTTTTGTTGATAACTTCAGATATGTTTCTATTTAATTTATCTTCTCTTGAACATTTTTTCCAGTCAAGTAGGATACACTAGTTGAATGTGTAAATAAGAGCGAGTATACAAATTGATTATTAATATTACTATTGGCCATAATTAATATAACTGTAGAGTAAGAATTTGGGGTTGTTTTGTGTAATATGTTATAGTTAAGCATTTAATTATGTCCCCCATTATATATTGAAGGTGTATATGTTGTTAATATGAACAGTGTAAAGTAAACAAACAAAAAAATCTGTATGAAAATGTACATAGTATTCTGTTATATAGCGAGTGTGATTTTTCTAACGAGTAATGATGGCCTATCATACATAACCTGTAGATAGTTAGGTGTTTAAATGCTATGCAAACATCACTATGTGAGGGTTACTATTAAAGAGAAACGATTTGCTGAGATGTATACTGGTCTTCCACAGGTAATTAATTGGGATATATTTTGATTGTCAAATTTTTCGTGTGAAAATGTAACATAGATATAATACAACTTGAAATCTGTAAAAAAAAATGCACTGAACTCACTTTTCAATCAAAACAGAATCGAGTTGAGTAAAAGATAAATCACGTCTTAAATATGTACCTTACTATTTTCTGTCTCTCTAGATCTCTCTCTCTCTCTCTCTCATTCTCTCTCTCTCTGTGTCTTCTCTCTCTCTCTCTCTCTCTCTCTCTCTCTCTCTCTCTCCCTCTCTCTCTCTTTCTCTATCTGGCGGAGAATTCTCTACAATGGGTGTTTAAAATGATTAAGTATTGATCGATGTAAAGGTCAAATAACATGCTATAGATATGGCATTTGATGTAAAACTTTTATATAATGATAACTAGATCCTACCAGGGCATTTAAATGTGCTTAAAAAAGTTCATGCAGCCAGGGCATGCTACAAGGCCCCATGCGTTACCAAGTATTGTAGAATTGTATTATGGAATTGTAAAGATAGATTAACATAAAATGTCAATTTATATCATATATTGTCTGATTCACTCATCAGATATAGTGAATCGTATATGTAATTGGTAACTTTGGGGACAAAATAGCTTGGATTTGTCCAGTAATATAATCGTCATCTCAATTTGTGTCCCCTGATAGCTTCAATATGATAAACAAGACAATGTCAGACTCAGTAGTGAGTTATGAATAGCCTTTTGCTCAAACTTCAACATGATCTCAATGAGGTATTATTACCTTGATTTAAAGCCCATTGTATTTCACATATTCCATGTGTCTAATAGATTACTGTGACCTTTCAAGTCATTATTAACATGTACAGAATCCATAGTCCCATTTAAATCAGCATTATGCAGTGTGTATGAAATGAAGATTCACATTATGAAGTCCATGATTCCAATACCCTGTATTTTAAAGTTCATCAGCTTTGAATCAAACCAGCACAATAATTGCATATTTCTCAAACCAAACTATTATCATGATACAAGAGTAGCAAGTTATTTCATGCTGGAAATGTATATCCTTTAAGTGTACTACCATTAAACATCTCCTAATATCTCTATTTCTCTTGCATAATTTACATTTAAAATGAAGAATTCCTTTTGTGATGTGTGTGTGTACCTGTGTATTTATAGGTTTCTTATATTTGCACCCACAGTATATATTATTTAACAAAAAGACAACTCCTATGTTCTCTTGTGGATTGACACGAGTATTAGAATGACATGAATTAATGGGCTTAAAGGCGGGATATATTTGGCTAAAATGTAATAATGAAGTGTAAAGCATGTACAGACTAATCTCACTTATTGTCACACAGCCGTGGAATAGTCGCTTATACAATAAAAAATGCTGTATGCAAGTTATTTCATTGATTGTGTTGGAGTTTTTGTTTTTGTTGTTTGAGTTTGATAACTGAATATCAATGTTAGTGTTGATGGTGGTTGTGGTGGTGATGATGATGATGATGATGATGATAAAAGTAATGATGATGATAGTTATAATGATAAAAGTTATGATGAAGATGATAGTTGTGGTGGTGATGACGATTATAATAGTTGTGATGATGATGAGGTGTTGATGATGATGATAAAAAATATAATGATAATAGTTTAGATGGTGATGATGATGATGGGATGATGATGATGATAGTTGTGGTGATTGCGATGATCATAGTTGTGATGATGATGATGATAGTTCTAATGATGTTGATGATGATGATGATGATAATGATGATGATGTGATGATGATAAAAGTTTTAATGATAATAGTTTTGATGATGATGATGATGATGATGATAGAATTGATCATGATGACGGTGATGATGTTGATGTTGATAGTTCTGATGATGTTGATCATGATGATGATGATGTGATGATGATGATAAAACTTATATTGATAATAGTTTTGATGATGATGATAGTGCAATTGATGGTGATGTGGCAGTATCACACTTGGAAGTATGATGGCAGTGATGATCATGAAGATGGCAATTAGTTATATGGTGCAAATTATTATGATAATATGATGAGGAGGAGGAGGATATTAATGATGATGTGATGATTATGATGAAGATTACAATAAAGGCAATGAGGAGAAGAAGAAGTAGAAGAAGAAGAAGAGGAAGAAGAAGAAGGAGAGGGGAAGGAGGAGGAGGAGGAGGAGGAGGAGGAGGAGGAGGAGGAGGATTATGTCGTTGATGATGGGGAGAACTTCTTATTATGCTGATGGGTTGAAGGTAAAGGCATAATGTCTTATCAAGAACTTACAAACAACTTACTCTCATATAGTCGCAGAAAATTTAAAATGTAGCCATTTTCCTTGAAATAATGTAGGCCTATCTATCACTGACCGGATCACTGATCTATACGAACACTAACAAGTCGTAGAGATGAGTGAGATCATGGAGGCTAGCAACTCCATGGTGAGATGTATCAATCAGACACGACTAAGATAAAGAGCGCCCTCACCCAAGTTGAGTCAATTCCGTAAAGTACATTCCTACCCCTTGTCATTTTTTTGTTTTTCGTAACTCAAGGATGAAAGGTGGTCCGCTTGAACCTATGATATGCCACATTATCAAGAAACATACATCGGGGAAAATGTTTGTTTGTTTGTTCGTTTTTTGTTTTTGTCACATACTCTAAAAAAAAAATTAAAAATAAACTTGGTAAGGGTATGAATCGTTGAAAGTGTTACTGCATTGACACAAATAGATTTCTCACATTTTCTATTCCTATATGACTGCATTTTAAAAAGGTATGATTGTAAATTAACGATTTGTATACACTACTGCTGGTCTAATAAAATAAAATAGGGAGTATTGAGTGTTCTAAATAAAGCCCTTACACTAATAGTATGATTTTTGTTTCTTATAATCTGTTAATAAGGCGTTGCAAAGCATGATAATAAAATAAAATGCCTATACTTTATTTATTCTTGTTGCTCTCATTTACCTCCCGATAATCTTAAATAGTGATTCAATCAAATTACTTAAGTTTGTTTTATGGTTAGGAATGACACGTGTTTGACTAGTTTTCTTCTGCGTGGTAAATTATTGTTTTGTTTCATTTCCGTATTTTACACCAACCGAAGTGCGAAGTGTGGCGGTAGCATCAATACAAAATATAACAAAAAATAATTTAAAAAATCGAGATAGGCGTAGACCACAAAGAAAGAAACTTCAACCTTTGTGACGTTTTTCATACTTTATATACATTCCTTGAAGAATTGAAATTAGTTATGATAATTGTACGGAGATTACAAAGGGTAAAGAGCGAGGACATCTCGTTAAATCGTGTGTTAGTAGTCTAATACAGCGGAATACTGATCATTGATCAGCTTTGCATTTCATTTCACCTGAGTTGAAATTGAAAAACCGCCCCGTTGTTGCTTTTCTCAAAATGATCTCAAAACTAGCAATATTTTAATATTAACGTGAAGCAGCTAATGAAGCCAACATCAGATGTATATGTTAAGATGTATAATTATATGAGCCTGTATCAGGGCAGATTTCATGACAATGAGGTGTATGCCCTCGCCCCTAACACAATAATATTTAAAGGTAAAGACCAGTATTGGAAACGCCCCAATTTCAAAAAATGAAATGGAAGCTCTCATTACCAATCATGTGAAAGAATATGTTTTGACTGATACATGATGATAAAAAAATTCCGGGAAACCGCCTACTAATTCATATATTTGGTAAATTTGTTTCTCTCATGGTCTGTGAGAGATATAGGGTAGTCCCATATACATCTTTCTGTGTATAGTGCTTGTAACTTTACGAAGAATGGGCCAAATTTCTTATCATTTTGATGATTCCAGAACCTTGCAGATGCTAGATGCTAGATGATCAACCTTTTCTGATCGATTCCACAACTTTTCTTTCACAATGCAATCGCATGACCATAACTGGTCTTTACCTTTAATAGTAGGGATCAACCATACAAAAGTGTCATCGTGTTTTTTCCTCGATGTCATTGCCTGATTGATATTTAATTTGATTTGATTTGATTTGATTTATTGGTTTCTGCATCTCTTTATTTTTTTTATCATACATTTTCGTGAACATAATATGGTTTGATACAATGCTTTAAGTGTATATAATTTTATACAGATAATAAACGAAATTAAACAAATATACTGAATGCATAATTAACATACATTAGATGCAGGAGGGCTACAGAAATAAGCAAAGTAGCTTGACGTGCCCGCAGCCCTCAACTTAGATGCAACAATAAAAATACAAATAAAACAGAGCGTGACTTGCAGAGAAGAAAAGGAAAGGGGAGAGAAGGAGCGTTGGTAATACAATAAATCTCATACATCTGCTGATTGCATGCAGGTTCATTCATGAATGGTTAAACGTAGCTAGGTCATGGACGATTACACATCATTGTTGAATATACAGTCAATGTACACACGAACAAATAACTGACGGTCTCCTTTTCTTGTGGCGAGGGGGTGTTATATTCTTAGAACTCATCAAAAGAACCCCCCCCCCCCTTATAACGTTGTTTTTCAAAAGTATCTCTGTATGCCCCTTTCCTCTCATTTAATCCCCCTACCATTACAACAATGTATGACATTCATCTGTATTAATTTGATTTCTAGATATCTGGCTCGATAAGTAAAACGAAAGGTCTTATCCATGCCCCCCCCCCCATGTTCACAGACATCGTCGACCTTAATATTTTATCGTATGAATTTCATATATAAGTTTAGTCTCATTATGAGCACTGACTTATTTTGCAGATCGACGTGACGTAATGACAAAAGTCACAAAAACGAGACTTTCTTTTTCAATAGGTTTTTTTTTTATTTTGTATTATTGATTCCGAACAATACAATTCAATCTTAGAAATAAAATACATTTGTTTTTCATCTTGACATGAATTCAAAACATTTTCAAGAAAGAAAGAAAAGAAATCAGTTGTGACATAAAGCAAATAACCCCATCCAACCAAAAAAACACACCACCCGACCACACTTCCACACTCCCGCTCCATCCCCCTTCACCCCTCCCCTACCCCCATCCCACCTCCCAACGCAGGCGCGGATCCAGGATTTCTTAGGGGGGGGGCTCAAATTTGAAATTATGCGAGCCAAATATTGGTACGTAATGGTGACACCGGCAGTGGGGGGGGGGGGGGGGGACCATCACCCATGCACTCTTACATGCAGGCCCCGATGAACGTTTCTCGGAGGGGGTCAAGGGGTGGAGCCCCCAAAAGCTCAGGGGATATGGGAATTTTATTACTGTCAGATGAGCATATTTTGATACCTTATTTGTGACACTGGCAGGACACACATTAGTGTGGGGTCCAGGGGGCGGAGCCCCCTGATGCTCAGGGGTTTTATACATTAAATTACTGTCATATGAGCATATTTTGATACCTTATTTGTGATACTGGCAGGTCACGAATTGGCGTGGGGTTCAGGGGGCAAAGCCCCCAGAAGCTCAGGGGTTTGGGGCAAAAATTACGGTCAGATGAGCATATTTTGATACCTTATTTGTGACACTAGCAGGACACAAATTGGTGTTGGGTCCAGGGGGCAGAGCCCCCAGAAACTCAGGGGTTTTATACATTAATTATCGTCAGATGAGCATATTTTATATCTTATTTGTGACACTGGCAGGACACAAATTGGTGTGGGGTCCAGGGGATGGAGCCCCCAGAAGCTCAGGGGTTTTATACATTAAATTTTCGTCAGATGAGTATATTTTATACCTTATTTGTGACACTGGCAGGTTACGAATTGGTGTGGGGTTCAGGGGGCGGAGCCCCAAAAGGCTCAGGGGTTTTATACTTTAAATTACGGTCAGATGAGCATATTTTGATACCTTATTTGTGACAGTGACAGGACACAAAATGGGTCCAGGGGTGGAGCCCAAGGAAGCTCAGGGGTTTTGGGCAATAAATTACGGTCAGAAGAGCATATTCTAATACCTTATTTGTGACACTGACAGGACACAAATTGGTGTGGGTTCTAGGGGCAGAGCCCCAGAGGGCTCAGGGGTTTCATACATTAAATATCGGTCAGATGAGCATATTTTGATACCTTATTTTTTTACACTGGCAGGACGCAAATTGATGTTGGGTCCAGGGGGCAGAGCCCTGAGAAGCTCATAGTTTTTATACATTAAATTATCGTCAGATGAGCATAATTTTATACCTTATTTGTGACACTTGCAGGTTACGAATTGGCGTGGAGTCCAGGGGGCGGAGCCCCCGGAAGCTCAGGGGTTTTGGGCGATAAATTACGTTCAGTTGAGCATATTTCTATACCTTATTTGTGACACTGGCAGGTCACGAATTGGTGTGAGGTCCAGGAGGCGGAGCACCCAGAGGCTCAGGGGTGTTAGGCAGTAGATTACGGTCAGATGAGCTTCCAGGGGCCCGCTTAAGGACCATTGGTTGAGTCCCCGGAAACCCAGGGGTTTTACGGTCAGATAAACATAATGATTTTGATACCTCAGACACTGGCAGGACACTATATTGCCGTCAAGGGTGCCGAAACCCCAGAAGCTCAGGGTTTTAGGCATTTAATTACCGTCAGATGAACATCCAGGTGCCTGACTTTGGGCCCTAGGTGAAATCCAGGGGGCAGAGCCCCCAGAAACTCAGGGTTTTAAGGCATTAAATCACGTTCAGATGAGCAATTTTTTTTTTTGTTGACCCCGGAAATTAGAAAATTACGTCGTCAGATATTACGTTCAGTGGCTTAGAAGGGGGGGGGGGGGGGGGGGGGGGGGAGAAACAATTTTTGTTTGTTGCTTCCCATTTTTTTGCTAGGGGGAGTCGGCCCCCCCCCCCCCCACCCGATCCCAACGTAACGCCCTTCCCAGGCCCATCCCCCATCGTCATCAGTGGTCACCTGACAAGTTGCCTAGCATAGGATCAGCTGTTTGTATACACAATTGGCTACTTTTAGCGACCAATAACCGCGCTCAATGCGTATTCGGGCGTAGTTAGCCAAGAAAATCTACAGAATTTGCGCTCTGGTGTCTTCAAAAAGAAAAATGAAAAATGAATGTGTAACATTCAATTCAATTCAATTCAATTCGATTCAATTCAACATGGGTTATAAATAGAAGAAAAATTTGATAAAAACGTTTAATAGAGTCTCCAGTGTGATAATAAAACGTGACATATTATAGCAAAACAAATAACTTAAACTAAAACGTCTATTTTCAATTTCAAGTTGAGATTATGATACAACCATTAGTAGGAACACGCAATTCTACGGATTTAGTTTAGCGAACGAATAGAATGATGTATGTAATTTAAGCATGTTACGACTATTGAGCAGGCCTATTGTTACATAAATAGATTGAGATCGAAGTAAACAAAATACTAAATAATTTAGTTTCAAGTGATTTTGGCCAGGTTTTCAGAGTTGCAAAATTAAATCATAGCTCCAATGGAAATGGAAATGGAAACACACGGGCCCGAATTCACAAAGGAGGTTTGTCGACAAACGGCCCTTTACACATTATGTCACATGCCGAAACTGGCTCCCCCCCCCCCCCCCACTCAGTGTAATTTAAGGTACGCATAATGCTCGTTCCCTCTTTTTGAAAGCACCCCCTATCTGAGGACTGCCAACATTTCCGAACCCCCCTTTAGCGGGCTTTTCGCGGGCTTTTCCTGCCTTGGAGACCCCCCTAAATCAGGAAAAATGCTCAATGTACCCCCCTAAATTCGGAATAATTTCTCAGGAGTCCAAAGATTAGAGAAAAAAAGAAAAAACACCCCCTTTTTAAAGAAATCTCCGGGTGAAAAGTCAAATACACCCTTTTTTTTTTACAATTCTCGGGCCGGACTTCGTCGCACGAGAAGTACCCCTTTACCGGACATTTTGGTAACACGCATGCGGCCATTCCGACCCCTAAGTGGGGGGCCGGGCCAATAAGACCAAGACAAGAAGTTTCGGCCATGTGATATTATATGGGAGTAAAGATTAAGATATCAACTTTAAAACGGTATTTAGTTAAAATTTCATTTGATAGTTAAAAGCGTATATAAAGGGATTATTGTACATGTATGTACAATGCTGATAAACCCATAATTGTCGGTTTGAATCCTAACTTTATATCTGAAACAATAAGACCCAGACACGAAGTTCGGCATGTCCCATATATGAAGGCAAAGAGAAATAAATATCAGCTTTAAAATGGTGCTTGTCATTGTTAGTTAGAATGGCATACGATAGTTTTAAACACATCCAAATCTAATCTCTTACTCCGGGCTCTTTGACGTTACCGTCAGCCGAAACGTGCATATTTATCTTTTTCCTTTTCGAGTGGACGATTTTGAGACATTACAACCATCATCATTGAGGCTAGCTTCCTCCTTATTGGTCGCGGGCTTAATGGTCGCTAGTTTCAAGAAGTGTCGCAGTTTGCATCCCTCCCGCCCGCCCGCGGCCTCGTATATAGGCCTACGTAACGCACGGCCAACGTTAGCCTTCAGTGCAGCTCATTCAGAGCTCCGGACTGGCCTGGATGTTACATCAGCTCTCATTCCAAACTAACACCATAAATATCGCTAGACCCTACACATATATCTGCCGCTTTTTGATACTGGATCTCAAATTGCAGACGACATCCTTTCAGTGTATGTTTGATTGAAGAACAGTTGCAGTCTACTTGCTGAGCTGAGCTGAGACTGAGTCAAGTCTAGTCAGTTTACATTATTTACAAGCTGAACCTGCTGAAACTAGCTCAAGACGTGAAGAGTGAAGTGCAAGATGGCATTTTTCAACAAATTGAGTCAAAGTGCAAGGAATGCTGCTGGATCATTGAGCAACATCAGAGTAGCAGCCCCAAGTATGTGAAGTTTGTCAAGACTCTATTCCAGTATACTAGTTTCATTGTGCATTATTTATTAAAAGGCATTTTTAAATAGATCTAGGGGCAGGGCTTAGATTCTAGACCTTTATTTTTATTTTTAAAAATTTCATTTCTTGTGTCTTTTTTAATATTTTTATCCCCCCCCCCCTGCCTAATGCTAGGCAAATATACAATAATTGCATTATTTGCAAGGCAAAATATCACCAAATTAGTTTGCTTCTCTGGATATTAAGATTCCTAGACCCTTCTCGGTAACTTTCATTTTTTTCAGAACGGATAGAAAAGAGAGCAAGATTTGCTGATCTTTTGTCAATATTTTCATAATTTCACACCCAATTCCAAAGACAATTTGTTACCTGTGTAATTTTAAGTTCCTCTTTCCATTGGTGGTATCAGCTTTTTGAAATCTTACCAATTTTTTTAGATCTATGGTCACACCACCATAATATGTAGAATAATTTTGGTGTGTGTTTTTATTTTTGATTAAATGAAGAGTTCTTCGTACAATAGGGTACAATTATTACTTTGTAGATCTGGGCAGTGCTCATGAAACCATCATTAGTACAATTTCATCATCATCCCATTGATATGCGTGTTCATTTTAATTCAAAGGGATGTCTGCAAACTTGTACTTATGACCGCTTTAAAAAAAAGAAGATACCCGGGACCAGGGTTATAATCACAGATGTAAACCAAAACTGATTACCTGACTACCAGCAACTGTCATCATTCATGAGTTGAGACCTAAAAAGCACTTTATATTCAACTGCATTATCATAATATTCACTTAAAATATTTTCATAGGCAAGTTGGCTCAGTCGGTATACCATTTGCCTATTGTACCAAAGATTGTGGTTTTGAACGCAACCCAGACGAATGACTGAAGCCTGCACTGTGTTGATGTTTCCCTCCCCTTTCAATTTACAAATAATTTGATCAAGATCTAAAAATTCTCGCTATTACATGATGTCTGTCTGTTCCAAATTTTCTCAGACTGTTTTTTTTAACCTCATAAAAAAAAAAATTTAAGTAAATTTATCATATTTCAAAGAGCCTCTGAAAGATTTTAGATATATATGTATTAACTCTTGTGAAATTGTATTACTTATTTGTATAGATGGCGGAGGGATGGCAAATGTTTTTCACATGTTCATGTAATTTAGAAGTCCATGTGTACTTGTACCCCACCCCTCCCAAAAATCTGTTTTGATCCACCAACATATTTTTGAAATTACCTGAAAACGTTGAATTAAGGAAATTTCTGTAATGATGTAAGGATGCACATTTCGAAATATAAATTGTTTTTCAGTATCTATTTCAAAGTCTAATTTACAGAGCTTTGATATCAATCTGGTGATAATTGATTATAACTTAACCTTTCTTCTAGAGAATTATTGATTGTTACATGAGGTAATTATTTTGTGATTGTATTTTCTTGTAGTTCGTCACAAGGCATCTGCCAGTGCCGCAGCACCCAAGCTGGTCCCAGATGAATACGATGGGCCACTTATGAGGACGGAGCTTCCAGGACCAAAGTCACAGGTAGGCCTCATCATCATCATCATCATCATCATCACCATCTTCTCTCATCATCATTTCTCATCATCATCATCATCATCATCATCATCATCATCATCATCATCACCATCATTTCTCATCATCATCTCTCATCATCATCATTTCTCATCGTCGTCGTCGTCGTCGTCGTCGTCGTCGTCGTCGTCGTCGTCATCATCATCATTATCTCTCATATCTTCTTCTCATGTCTCATTCCATGTTTGCGGTTACTGTAGGGTTTAGTTTTGAGCTGGTGATTCATTGCTTTCTGTAGCCAATAGCTTTCCTCTCTCCTAACTACTGTACATGTTAATACCATCTCAATCTACCCATTCTTTATACATCCATCATGCCTATGCATGTGATCTGCTTGGGAGAAGATCCTTCAGTGATATAAAATGGGTACTTTGTCGTTGCAATCTCATTTTCACAATACTTTATTCAGGCAACAACCTCATAGCATGCTTCAGAGCTGTCAACCATTACGTTTTCCCCGGAATTATTCTTTTTTTCCTCCAAATTATGGTTTTCTTTGTAGTATGTTTTTTGTTTGTTTGGTCGCACAAGGTTGGCAGCTCTGGTGCGTTGATTACAATGGGAAAGAAAGATACAATGGAATGGCAAACTTAATACATGGTGATATTATTGTGCTTTGAGTTTCATGGTTTTCATTTGTCAAAAAACATGAAAATATAACTAAAATCTCAAGGCATATGTTTGTATTTTAAGAGATGTTTCAAAAGATATTTTACACTCTTCATCAAATATTTTTTACTTGATATATATATATATATATCTGCAAGTTTTGAGTTATTTTTGTCTGTTCAACATAATGTACATGCCATGCATCTAAAATAACCTTTATATCATATTATGGATGAGTATGCAAAAGGTCATCAATTAAATGAAAACCATATTGAATCAACTTTAGAGAGGATGCAATGCCTACAACATTTTATGGAATTCCATTTCACAAAATAGAATTTATTGTCAGTATTTGTTCAGTTGAAAGTTCAGTAGGAAGGAATATGCACTATGAACATGACAGACAAAGAAAGCGGACAAAATATACAGTTCCTCAGGTACACAAAGGAACATCCCTTCACTGCTATTATGTTAAAATATGTAGAACAGGTGTCACATGCATATTCACCTTTTTACATAATAGCAGTGAAGGGATGTTCCTTTGTCTACCTGAGGAACTGTATATTTTGTCCGCTTTCTTTGTCTGTCATATTCATAGTGATGGTAGGCCTATATATTCATGGTAGGCCTATATTCATGGAGAGTTATTCATCCATTCATCCTTTGGAAAATCAATAGCCACGTCCTTTGAATGAAAGGTCACTTGTGCTTTCAAGCTGTAGAGAATACCTGAATGTAATAGCTTAGTACAGTATACAATATATAATGTACAGTGTACTATACAGTGCCTCCCAGAAAAAACTAAACCAAGACTAATCAATGTTTTATCATAACTTAATCACAATTATAATTAAATGAATAAATGACACATATTTGTAAAGCTTAGATCCTCCTCTTTCATTTGATGCAACTCATATGATGCATATTTTACGCATAAGTGATTAAAAAACAATGTACCAAAAAGTCATTTGGGCAACGGTATCTGAATTTTCATAGAGAAAATCACATTTTTTAGAAAGTTCATTTCCTACCCTTTCATATGACACCTCAATCAGGAAAAATGAGCCAAGAATAACAATGTTCTGTTTGTTTAAAGTCATGCTTGCATTTCCATAATGTTACTAAACAAGTTCGTTTTCACTGGCTGCCTGCCATAGCAAATAAACAAGAAACTCTGTTTCATTGACGATCAGCCATGCATGAAGTCTTTCATCCTCTTTGTTTTTAGGGCAGACAGCTAGTGGAACGGATTTGTTTAATAAAAAGATTTAAAAACATATTTGAGAGTGTAGGCCATTCTGTAGCATGCAAAAATTATCTGGTAATTCATACTAAAGATTCAGATTCATATTTCAGATTCCTAATTCATTGGTCTGTACCGTATTTGAAAGGGGGAAAAAAACCCAGAAAATTGGCCTGCACTGGAGCAATAAACATCATGCCACCAATATAACAATAAAACAGCACACTCAAATATCAATTTTCATATCTTTATGGACATACATGTAGATGTCTGTAACACAAATCATTTAAAATGGACATTGTCCTATGTACACTTAGATAAAAACAAAACAATACACAGGAAAGCTCTTTTGTCATGCCAGTACCCCTCCATTCCATCATCATGGAACGAATGGAAATCTAGGGGAGGCAGGTGGGCAAACAATCGCTTCCATTTACCATCGATCTCCTCCTTCCCACTCCCAGGCTCGCAGACGAGACCCTGGTAGTATAGGGTTTCTAACGGTCCCAGTAGTATGCTCCCTGGCAAATCCTCGATGCCTGTATTGTATGTACATTTTGAGGGATACAGTGACTCAAAGACGTAACTCCATTTTGGCCAGTTTGAGAAAAAGTGGATTACATGTACATGTACATATATATGTCACTGAGCACTTGGTCTTAGTCTATGTTTCACTAGCCATTGACTTCAATGGGGTGTTGGGTGGAGTTACGTCTTTGTGTTTCCTGGAAAGCAAATACTCATTTTGGCAAAATATGGAGTTACGTCTTTGTGTCACTGAATCCTTGATCTGTTGTTCATGTACTTTTGGCTAGAGGTGACTGTATTCCAGCACCTGTTTGGAACCAGAAGGGACTTGTAACTCATTATCCATGTACTTTAACACAGTGTGCACGACCTTCTGGCTCTGAATAGACAATATGCCCTTGTGTGAAAATGTTATAATGTACATTTACAATTTTTTATCCTTAGAATATGGTCATACGATATATGTACAGTATGCTACATGCATACTTTGTGATGATTTCAACTTTGTGTCAAGCACAGCATGTACCGGTACGCTATAATCAAGTGTGCATGCACGGCTAGAATTCATGGTTTATTAATGAAACTGTTTAATTACCGGAAGTCAGGCAAAAGCTTACATGTAGGTTTAGACATTTGCAACCCATCACCAATGGACACTAAAGTGAAATATTTTTATCTTTTAATAGACATTTCTAGGTATTGAAACTCCATTGTTATTTGCAATACAGCACACTTAAACAAGGGTTCGACCATGCAAGAACTCAATTGCAAAATCTTCCTAGATTTCATTTTTGTGACATTTTTTTCCTTCTTACCCTGAGATTTTACCCAAGTTATTCTTGCTGCCTTTACTGATTTAGACACAGTTTGGTGTTGAATGCATTTTCAATGAATACTTCAACTGTAAAGCTATAATGTATGTTGATCCATTGTGTAAATTCTTTGAATTTCAATGTAATAATAACCATTTACATGTACCATTAGCCCCACATTGGTATACACTGACTCTATACAAGGCAATATGACAGGGTTGATAGCACTTCTTCTTTATCTTTTTTTTTCTCCACAGGAACTATTGAAGAAAATGGACAGTATTACAAGGGTATGTACATATTATTTACTAGGAAATGTATTCACGATTTCCAAATGCAGATTTCCAAATTTCCACTGTGTATAGTGCTCAGTGATTGTGTCCATTGAAATGCAACCCAGGGGCTTCTTTTGTCCTACGTGTATGTTTTTCGGTTTATTGAGTATACATATATTCACAAAAAGTTCCCTATTTTGTTCAAAATTGGTTTACAATCATTCAAATGTTTGCGAACATCATGTAAATGTGACAATTTTTGGGTGAAATTATTTTGCTCTTTGTTATTAAAAGAGCCGCAAAAAATTCAATGTTTGCATAGTGTACATATAAAATATTGAGGTTAGCAGGCCTACAATATAATAATATAATAATAATAATGTTATAATAAATATTGGGTCCATATACTCTAGGGATATTTATATTTTGCTGCGAATATATATAGGGCCTACACAATATACCTTCAATTTTCATCGATTATTATAATGGAAATACAGTGTATGTGCTTTACGGGCTCTAGGCAGTGCATGCTCATACTGTACGTACATGTAGGTGAAATGGTAGGGATTTTGTTTATTCAATTTGATTGACCTCTGTCTAGAAATATAGCAAATTTACATTTGACCCACGCTATACAGTATTTACTCTCCTGTCTGCCTTCCATACACATGTACAGGTATGCAGAGAAATGCACATAGACACGTATACTGTATGCACCTGTACCTGTATGTTTATATCTGGGGATATATCTGTATTTGCCCACCTCTCAGCCTTCCCATATACTGTACATGTGTACACAGATATGGTGGTGGTGGTGGTTATTTTACCTGACTGCTAAGAAATCATAAATGCTTGTTCGTAAGCAACCAGACGACCGACTGCCGACTGCTTTAGGTCCTCTCCGATATCTGACGAACTGAAGTAGATCAAGGTTGAAATGGTGCAGGTTTGAATGGTCAAATCAAACCGATACGCCAGCTATTGGAATCCTTTCAGCTGGAAAATCAAAATTTTGGAGAGTCACTCAGCTATTAAATTGTTTTGCATTGCACTTATTTAATCTCAGTTATTATAAAAAACAACTTTTAGTTCCGATGTAGATTGTAGATGCATGCTTATTAGCAAGACTGTGACCCAGCATGTCAAATGTACCAATGCTTGAATACCCGTTATATAAATGATGTAAAAATGAATTACAGTAATGTATTTTTTCAAAAACTAGAAAAATATACGGTACCGGTAACTACAAAGCAGTCACATGTACCTCTGATTTAGAGTTTAGAGTTTGAGTTTGAGTTTGAAGTTTATTATCCAAACAAAAAATACATTGATATAACAATAAAATGTGAATGTTTAACATTGAAAGAATAAATGGGACCAGAAAATAGCATTTAATGCTAATCGTGTCTTTTATCACTATTAAACACACTAGTCACAGCAATGAATAAGAATGTGATGAATAAATATTAAGCTACAAGCTATTCTACATCTAGGCTAAAATATGTTCTGTGATTAAATACAAAGCTTTGGTATTTTACACTAGGTAAAAGATAAAGAAGCTAGAAGCTATTGCCATGCAGTCACACCTGCTTTAGTGACCACCTGTCTACAAAGACCACCTTTCTACTATTAGACCACATTTTTTGTTTCCCTTGAAAATGGTTTCTCATTGTATCGTGAAACCAAGCATTCACAGGGGTTGATGACCTTACCTGTATGTATGAATTTCCAGACAGCTACAATTCATTGCATGCATGGAGCTATACAATAAGCCCTTTTATTCCTAGTCTGAACATCGTATAATAACGGAAAATTGAATCACAAAACGTTGTTGAAGATCCCTTTTGAACCTTGTTTTGTTCGAAAAGTTGTTAAGATTCGTGACATTGAATTTAATGCTCGATGAAGCACAAACTGCTTAATAGAAGAGGTTACCTGTTTAATCACAAAACGTTGTTGAAGATCCCTTTTGAACCTTGTTTTGTTCGAAAAGTTGTTAAATATCTGATTCGTGACATTGAATTTAATGCTCGATGAAGCACAAACTGCTTAATAGAAGAGGTTACCTGTTTAATCACAAAACGTTGTTGAAGATCCCTTTTGAACCTTGTTTTGTTCGAAAAGTTGTTAAATATCTGATTCGTGACATTGAATTTAATGCTCGATGAAGCACAAACTGCTTAATAGAAGAGGTTACCTGTTTAATCACAAAACGTTGTTGAAGATCCCTTTTGAACCTTGTTTTGTTCGAAAAGTTGTTCAATATCTGATTCGTGACATTGAATTTAATGCTCGATGAAGCACAAACTGCTTAATAGAAGAGATTACCTGTTTAATGCATGAGCAGTACATATGGATCAGTCTTTTTTGATAATTAATTTGGATAATTTGAATGTATTATTGTAATAGATTGAGACCTGACCCTTTATACAGCCTTAATTTTTAATACAATAGCCTTTTATTTGTGGGCTAGAAATGAAATATGTTCAATTTAGTATTACATGCACCGGTATCTAAAATACTTGAACATTTTGAAAATAAACCCCATTATTTTTTTTTCTTCCGATTTTATCCTTATTTTCACGATTTTTCTCTTATTTTCTCTATGTTTTCTGATTTTTCCCAATTTTCTTACTCAAAAGGAGGGGAATGTTGTTAAATGCCATTTTTTTTTCGTGGTTGAGGGGAAGGAAAAAAAAACCCTATTTTTTGTTTTAGTGCTCACTATCACCCCTGGTTCGATGTGATATTCCTCCTACAGAACACGGCAACCATTCAGATGTTTGTAGACTACAAAGCAAGCAAGGGTAACTTCCTGGTAGACGTCGATGGCAATCGATACCTGGACTGCTTCAATCAGATCTCATCCGTTCCTCTTGGTATGTTCCTCCTTTATTCTTGTCAAAATCCCAGACATTAAGGTCTGGAGGTTGTCTCAGGAATCAGAATCAGGAATACATGTACATTGACCCATTTCTATCAAGAACCAGTGCTCCCCTGTTTTCAAAGTGTACTGATCACCAAAACATGTTTTGCTCTTGATTTATCGGTTCCTTGTTGCTTGCTATACTGTAGTCAAACTATGAGCTTCAAATTTTCTTATACAAAGAGATATTGCAGTTTAAATACACTCAAACTACAGCACTAGGTAAATGTAGCAAGATCTAGCATCTTTCTTGTCTCTAACCGTTTCATCTTTATAAAAAAAGAAAAGATGAATGAAAGTTCAAATCCAAAGAAATCTGGGAGAGATTGGTTAGAATTAAGACTGGGATCAGTATTCAGAAGATGGCATGCAGCACAGAACACTGGAGTGACCTCTTGAGACGTGTCTGGTAACCAGTCTCCAACCTGCCACCTTGAAGCTTCAAATCTGATGTGATTAAGATATAATCAAATTTCATCTCGGGCACCAGGGTTCATAATACAGTTATCTGCTATAATGAACTGTATTCGCTAGCTCGGGTATTCCTTGCCGAACTCGCTAGTCTTCTCCACTGAAGTAAAGATTAAAACCACTCTAGATCTAAATGAAAACTTAAATATGATATAGTATAGTATTAATGACTGCTTTGAGAGAAATAGTTGTTTTATTACGCTCAAGGGAAGGTTAGAATTGTGCTATTCCCCGAGGCTTGCCGAGGGGAATAGCCCAATTGTAACCTTCCCGAGAGCGTATGAAAACAACTATTTCTCGAATATTAAAGCAGTCATTAATACTTTTATATGCCGAAAAAAAATAGACTAAAAAATAAAAAATAAAAAATACTTTTTTTTTTTGTCGAAGGTGAGAGTCGAACTCTTGCGTACAACGGGTGATGAATCTTACACCAACGCCTTACACCACTCGGCCATCGCGCGCTGTTCACATGCTTGGCAGTTTTGTACAATATATACATTAAAATGGATTGAAACCGGCTTTGGCGTGATGAATGCTTCGCAAAAGCACCCTTCTTTTACTTTTGCAATGCATATTGGCACGAACTTAGATCAAGATCTATCGGCAGATGTTGTTTTTTTTTTTTGGAAGTTTATTTTCGTCTTCATGTCAACAATGCAAGATAAAATTGTCGGTAAGATCGATCGAGATTCAATTGTATTGAAATTACCGACCAATCCTTCGCACACATACGGTATCCTCGATCGCTCAAACCATTTTTTAACATGTAAACCTATGGGGTAACCATGGAGGCTGACCTATTTTTTTAATAACCATGGTTATTAAAAATATTAAATGTTTTATGCATGGTTACCGGGAATTTTACAGGAACAGTTGAAGTTTATGAATGCAATTCGACCAATCAGATGGCTGGATTTCTTAAGTGAGGTATATAATGTGCTATAATAATGAATTAAAATGCAGGTATTTATCCTTCAAGGTTGTTGTCAAGGAAGAGGTATCACTATTGGTAGAATTAGATAAATACACCCTTCAAATACTTTTTTTGGGCATAATTGAATGAACACTGTTGTAAATGCATATGTACACTGTACAGTACTTGTATGCTTGGTTTGTGATCAAGAGACTTGATTTATTGCAAGCATGGAATTTAAAATTTCTAGTTCATAAGCTAATTAACACATCTTCTATTAAAGAGCGTTAACAGCATCAACTCACACTTTTCAACATATAATCAATGTCCTTCATTGTACATAGTTCCCAATACATGTAGATAATGTTGTGTTTACATATATATTTTATGAAAACACACATACCGGTACATACATGCATGATGTCATTTTAATTTTTATGCAGAAATTAGAATTATCATGGCTACAGGTATCAGCACAATTAAGTACAGTGTATAAACATGTAGAATTCCAATGCAAGGCACAAAGCCCATCTCCTGTTAATATGCAAGATTTGGAATGCTCCGATATTACACTCCTTATTGAGGAGATGTATCTGTATTGATTGGATATGAGGCTGTCCAAACACACCAAGATTGATGGAGTGCATTGAAAGAATAAAATGTAGATTACATCAACCAAGAAAATACCCAGGAGCCTGGATTAAATCAACCTTGGCCTGATCAGACTAGTTTAAATTTATATGAAACTCGTATAAAGAAAAGTTAACATCTTGTTCAGACTAGAAAATTATATTGTATAAAGTAAATAATTTTGATGGGGTCAATAGACTAGCTATTTTCGTAATGTCACCAAATGTAATGCATATGTCTTTGTAAAGCGCCTCTATACAAACTATTTGATTTGGTTTGATTTGATTTGATTTATTTATTTCTGTTTGATTTTCTTTTTCTTGTGCATTTTTACAAATATGTAACTAACAAACATTTCAAATTCACACATGACAAAAGAATGATGAGAATAATAGTATTTCAATAGACAGAATCCGAACTGCATACATTAGATGTTGCCAGGTTGGACAAACATTATGGCTTTCCCTACCGATCAACACTTAATATATGCAGTTTCCATTCTGACTATTATTCTTATCAGGTGAATGAAATAATTTGTAATTAGGCACTTCACAAAGACTTATGTATTAAATTTGGTTACATTACAAAATTGGCCTATCAGCCCGCCCAGTTATATGATTTTGTTACAATACACCATTCAGACTGGAGAAGGACCTGATTCTTTATAGATGCTCAAACAGGCGTTTTTTGCTATAAGACGTTGCGTTACACAACGTTTCTTTTATGTTCAGACTAGGCAAAAAGTAATTACCCCGGTACTTATCATATAGCTGTGTGATTCTCGTATACAGTACTGCTTAAAAAGTTGGGAAAAAAGCAGACACTCTCACACTGTGTCACGCGTAACTGCATGTATTATTCCATATAATTTGGTGTGACGTGGTGTTAGGGTGTCTACTATTTTAAGCAATACTTCAAGTAATACTGTGTAGCTTTACAATGATTCGGTCCGTGTTGACACCGTGTTGGCACCGGGGTGGTCCTGGATGGTCCTGGATGGTCCTGGATGGTCCTGGATGGTCCTGGGCGGTCCGGGAGTCGACCCCGGATGTTTTTGACGGTCAAAAACTGCCGGGGTGGTCCGGGACGGTCCGGGACAAAAGTTTGATCCGGGGTGATCCGTGTAGCCACCGTGCTGGGTCCGGGGTCATCCGTAGTGGCGCCGGGGCGGTCCGTGTTGATCCGTGGCAGTCCGGGAGTGAGTTATTGACCGCCCAGGACCATCCAGGACCACCCCGGTGCCAACACGGTGTCAACACGGACCGAATCCCGGATCACCCCGGATGGGGTCCGGGATGGTCCGGGACGGTCCGGGACGTATATGGGACTGTAGCTTAAAGCATCACACTTTTTTTAACAAAACATCCCGGACCATCCCGGATCACCCCAGACCATGGTCCGGGATGGTCCGGAGTGGTCCGTGCTCGTCCGTGCTGGTCCGGCTTTATATGGGACTGGGGCTTAAAGGTCTTTAGATATGGGCACATCTAAAGACGCAAAAAGGTGTGTTTTGTATGTGACATACAGCCAGAATCACGTTTCTGAGAGATGATAAACGCAAAGCTGTTTTGAACCCCACATACAAATCGGACAACCCAGGTTAATTTCCGGTTCTGAAGCTAGCACGCGCCATGTGTTGTGTACAAGCATATGTGTCTAGTAGACCTCCGAGAAACTGTCTGCTTCCCGGGTCAAAACAGCCGTGCAGACACAAGGCCTTTATTTTGAATGGTGAAGAGACGATAAACGCGACATCCCGCAAATCACTTTCGTATAGTGGGGTTCGATAGTGGGGTATGATAGTGGGGTACGATATGTACAAATCTAGTGGCAAGACCCAATAAACGTATCCGTAGAGAGAAATAATGCAATGTTATTATGATAGTCAACAACTGCAATTATTTAGACTTCTGTGATTTTCTCCATGTATGTACAGTACATGTACATGTAGGGAGGGCTCTGTCATATAATAGAAGAGGACAACTGTTTTTTTGCTATTTTGTGCTTTAACCTCTTAACCTCTTGCATCTTATGGACTGCAAACCCTGTCATAGATTTTGAGTGTTCAACAATATGTTCAAGGTCTATGTTTTCCTTCCTGAAACAGGAAAAGATATACATCTATCGTGAAGTTTATATACGCTGTATTGGGAAGATATTTCGTGTCCTATATACAATCAACAAAACAAAGCGATTCTAGTCAAAATTCCACTCACGAAAGTTCATTTATAACAACTTTTAAAATTTGTGGTGGACGGGAAAGGTTAATAAGATCATTTTTGTAATAATGCATTCAAAATTCAAATTTACAACATTGTATACACTTTCACTTTGTAACTATCCATTAGATTTTTACCTGGTATAAGTTTTTATTTATTAGTCTAATTTATTGATATGTTGAACTGAAATCTTGTTAATTAATTGATATTAATTAATTATTTAGCAATTAACATAGAAATATGTAATACCAGTACATGTGTTGGATTTTACTTTGATTTTTCTTGTTTCTTTCCAGTTGTTTCATCAATTCTTTCTTTTAATAGAAATTGTGATACATACATGTATATAGATCAGATGAAACAACAAGGAATGGAACAAAAAAGACAAAACAAGTAAAATCCAATACCTATTGCATTTGTGTACTGGTATGTCTCTATCGAATAAATAATATTTTCTTCTTTTGTTCCATTTTCTAGGGTACAACCATCCAGCTCTATTGGAAGCCGTTACAAATCCAGATCTTGCTGTAAGTGACCTAACTGTATCAAACAACTTTCTTCTTTTTTCTTGGAAGCTTTCCAAAGTTCATTATTTCTGAAATGCTATTCAGTTCTTTCTTTTTCCTCATCCTTCTTTTCCATTGTTCTATCTCAGCTAGTATCGCAGTGTTCAAGACAAATTTTAGTGCTGCTACTGCATGTGATAATGATAATGAACTACCTGTAAATTCATATAATGATCATGTAATTCACCACTGAATAATTTACTCAAACTTGTTGTATGTTGAGACCCAGAAGGGTGTAAACTCATATCATTTTACAGAGAGTTTAATAATCATGATGACCTTCTGGCGCTAAACATATATCTGTAGTGATTTTTTTTTTAAAGGTGAAAATGTATGAAAAAAGCTGTTGTGCAGACTTCAGAATGACTATAGAAACCGGCATACATGTATGTTTTATTAAATTAACAACAGACATCACCACCCAGCACAAAAGGAAATCAAGTATAAAGGCATTGTTGCATGAGTTTGGCTTTTGCCGTTATTACTGTATAAATATAAATTCTGAAGAAAAAAAGACAAGTGTTATTTTGAACATGTTCATCCTATTCATGTAACAGAAAGAAGCACTTCTAAAGAAAAAATGTCTATGTCACCACTTTCGGTGTAAATCCTGCATTATATTACCCACAAAAGAAAGTAAATTCACAGCAACCATTTTTTTTTTTTTGGGGGGGGGGGGGGGAGGGGAGAGGGGGGAGGGGGTAACCTGTTCGTTCCAAACACTATGATCAAATTGGCTGATGAGAACCAGGGAGGAGTTATATCTATTCAAAACGATATACGTTAATGCCCATCTTGCGCTTTATGGCCGGGCCGTCAGCCGCAATGCTTACAATACATCCAGGGTCGATGTTTGTCAAGATTGCTTTGTGTCTGCACTGCTAGTGTAAATAGACTGACGTATCGTATGTCAGTCAGCTGATGCATTAGTACTTCTCATGCTCCTAGCTTCCCCTTCTCCATCAATGTCATTGTGCTTCTCTTTACTTGCTCAGGGTTAAGTCCGCTTGATATGTCCTCTCTCCCTATTCTCCTCTTCCCTATGTACAACTATCCCTCATTTTCCCTTTTTTCTCTGTCTTTCTCCCCATCTGTCTGCCTGTCTGCTTCTAACTCTCCCTCTCTTTCTTTCTCTCCCTCTCTTTCTCTCTCCTCTGTGTATGTTTGTACTCTGTCTACACCTGAACTTCTCACTCACTTTCTCTCATCTTCCATCTCTCTATTTCCTTTCTCAATATCTCCTCCTTCTAGCACCCCCCTCTCTTTCTCCCCTTTTTCTCTCTCCCTTTCTCTCGCTCTTTTTTTCTCTCTCTCTGTCTCTTTCTCTTGCTCTCTCTCCCCGGCCTCTGTCTATCTGTCTGTTGACCTGTCTGTCTGTCTCTCCTCTCTCCTCTCTCTTCTCTCACCCCTCCCCTCTCTCCCTCCCTTTCTTCATTCCCGCTCTTCTCTCTCTATATACTCCTCCTCCATATCACAGTGACTTCATCTTTATATTTCCATTCATGTCGTCTGTAATCACACAACAGCCTACAGTTCCCAATCCTTTTTTACCAGCATACCCTTAATCCTCCGAGCTTCCTCTATTTGCTTTCCGTCCAACAAAATCCATTATCCTGGTTGCCTTTAGACAAGTAGAAATGTAAATGGAGGCAACATTCTTTCTCTGGTTGATTGAAAGGGTTAGAAAACAGTGACCTTGCGTTTCTGCTGGAAAAATACCATCCCTGGATCATGATGGTGTTCCCACTGTACTGCAATGAATCTATGAAGTCCATTGTTAAGTTGATGCAGTGAGAAGATTTCATATCACATTATTGGAGACTATAGGGGATACCATACCTGCCAACCCTTACAAATAATCCAGAATATTACGTTTTTCTGGATTTGTAGGACCTGAATAACCAGAATATATAGTTTTTTTCATTATTTTGTTTGCGCTAAAGCTGAATTGTGTGCCTTGAATGGCTGCATGATCGAGCAGCCAATTTTGTATTCGCTTTTTGGTACAGATATACCGCGTATTGCCAGTTACGCTACCGCTGCAAGTGAGATTTCTTATTTTCGAAGGCATACCGTGCTAAAAATTCCTAATTCTTATTTTCAAATGTTGGCAGGTATGGGATACATACATGATATTCTGAAACTACAAGAGGGGGAGGAATACAATGTAGACATGATATGAAGTGTCATATATACATGTATATAGGACTACAGAATTATGGTCATTATTAACCAGATTACTATTGAATAATAACCCTGAGATATAATGTGGGCTGTGGCTTCAAGTTCAGGGAAAATATATTATATACCAAAAAGAGATTAGAATTGACAGGTTTCATGTAAGTTGAGGGGCTGGGGTATGTAGATTGAGGGGTATTGCAAAAACATGTACACATAGAATAAGGACAAGTTGGGGAGAACTTTGAACCATTTGATTGTGATTCCATGTAAGGAATTTTCGCCATGTTATTTACGAAGAATCCCAGTAGTTGAGACGAACATAATAGAAAGCACACTTGGTTTGTCAGGCATGACGCTCGATCTTGGTACAATAATTGAACCTAAATCATTGAAAATACATGGTGTACGTGAATGATCATTAATGATGATTCATTAATGCATTTCTAAAAATTGTCTACTCTATAGTCGGATCAAAGGTGTGTGCCGGGGCTTGACAAACACCTGTACATTATTCTTTGTTCATGTTAGCTAAAGAGGATCAAAGGTTGAATACGTGTCTACTTCTGATTCATTGTGTGTCACGACTTTGGTGAGATATCACCTGGAAACTGTTTTTTAAATATGCACAAATGTACAATGTGTATCATAAAATTCATTTTAAAGGTTAGATAATGAATGAAAAAATAAATAAAGATCGTGATTTCTTTCGTTTTAATTTATATTTGATATATTTTCAGAGAAAGGCATTAATTCTATGTGAAAAGATACATGCACAGTATGAGTCCATCTGGCTGTCAGGAGTGACAGTGTATTATGATATGCTATTCATAAACAAGAGCAATCATTACAGGATGCATTACCCAATCTTGAACTAAATCACACCTTTTTATAACATGCACAATTAATTTTTTTTTTTCATCACCACCATCTCCCCATCCTTCCTCATCCTCTTCTTCTTCCTCTTCCTCCTCCTCATTCTCCCCTCCTCCTCCTCCTCCTTCTCCCCTCCTCCTCCTCCTCCTTCTCCTCCTCCTCCTCCTCCTTCTCCCCTCCTCCTCCTCCTCCTCCTTCTCCCCTCCTCCTCCTTCTCCTCCTCCCCCTCCCCTCCCCTCCCCCTCCCCTCCCCTCCCCCTCCCCCTCCCCCTCCCCCTCCCCCTCCCCTCCCCTCCCCCTCCCCTCCCCCTCCCCCTCCCCCTCCCCCTCCCCCTCCCCCTCCCCCTCCCCCTCCCCCTCCCCCTCCCCCTCCCCCTCCCCCTCCCCCTCCCCCTCCCCCTCCTCCTCCTCCTTTTTCTTATCCTCTTCTTCCTCCTGCTGCTACTACTACATCTTTTGATTTATTGTGTATTTCTGTGCAGGTTCTGTACATTATATTAAGTCATTATATCCTGAACTTTCATTTGTTATTGTTTTAGATTTCGATGATAAACCGCTCAGCCCTTGGAGTGTTCCCACCTGCTGAATATCCTGGCCGTATGGAAGATGCTCTCCTTTCTGTAAGTCGATCAAACAGGGCTCGTCCACATTTTATATGGGAAACAACGTTTATTGCAGCGATTTTGTGTATGGTACATAAAAAAAGAACGTCAAGTGGGGATTAAAGTATAGCTGCATGCAATAAAGGTCCTAAATATATGTGTACATACTTATCTATGTGGTATAAGAGCTTATATAACAGTTTCCTAAAACAAGTTGTACTTTATGTTGCAATACAAAATGCAGAGGTTTACCGTTTCATTCGTGCACAAAAGTCTAAAGTCTAGTTTTCCATCAAGAAGGACCATGTTTTCTTGTGGCCATCCTTTTATCTTTTTTAGATTATCAATCAAATGAGGTACCGAGAGAGATTTTGGACATTTTCTTTTTTTATTGGGGGGGGGGGGATTGTTGTAACCTTGCAGTTTGATGATGTTTAAAATGTTATCCTTTATCAACTCAATAAACTCATTGATAAATATTCTGGCGTGGAATATACACATTGTAATTACCGAGGCTGAAAGTTTATATACCATTTATCAACATGTAAATATTTTTGTATCATGCAAGTCATTCAGGTGTACCCAATACAAGCTCCTTGCTTCATTGAATTTAACTCATCCCTGTATCATATTATGCCTTTGAATTATACTCATAACAAAACACATAAATGTCCTTGTCATTTGAAGAACGTGGAAAATGTAAAGAAAAAAAATGACTAGATGAAAATTTGAAAAGGAAATTTATTATTTAAAAAAAATTAAAAAAATCCTCGTGTGTAATGACTGGTGATCAGATATATTTGAACTGATAAACTTCTGTGTGTGAACTGGCCAATTAATGATGTATGTTAACAGCAAACCAGACATTGAAAAGAAATTTAAAAAATGCTGAGTTGATGAATTTTCTTTTGGCTTTCATACAGACTTGATCAATGTTTATTCAGTGGGGTTGTTATCGGGTATGTATGCCATGTGTTTGGTCAGAAACAATGCCCCAAATTGGACTTTGACACATGATTTCTTCAAAGTTATTTATAATGTAATCTTGATTGTTTGATCATGAACTATTGTTTAACTTTAATTGAGTCTTGTCACTTGTGCATGACTAACTCAAGAACATTTCAATATTTAGCACATTTTTTCCCCCTGTTATTAAAGGGCAATAAAATTTAGATTTCTAAATACAGTAATCCAGAATAAATACCTATTTGAATTGGATTAAATAGGCCATTTTCGTAATGTAACCAAATGTAATGCATAAGTCTTTGTGAAGTGCCTCAATACAAATTATTTCATTCACCTGATAGGAGTAATAGTATTTCAATAGTCGGAATGCAACTGCATATATTAAGTGTTGCTAGGTAGGTCAAGCCATAATGTTTGTCCAACCTGGCAACAACTAATGTATGCAGTTCGGATTCTGTCTATTGAAATACTATTATTCTCATCAGGTGAATAAAATAATTTGTATTGAGGCACTTTACAAAGACGTATGCATTAAATTTGGTTACATTACGAAAATGGCCTATTGAACTCTTCATAAGATGGGGCTGACACTAAAGGCTCCTGAATATTCCAATCCGAAGTACATTTTTTATGTCATTCATTAACTGGATAAAAAGGTCAATAAACTATTTAAAGGGGAGAGGGATCACATGAATGATTAAACTTGCATAAAGTTTGTCTTTGATATTGATAGAAATTTCAACATGATATTTTCTTATGATAATGTTTTCAGATTGCACCTAAGGGGTTGGAATGCGTTCAGACAATGATGTGTGGATCGTGTTCGAATGAGAATGCACTCAAACAAACTTTCTTACAATACAGGGTGAGTATTCATAATAAATGCCATTTGATCATAGATATTTCACAGATAAGATTATTGTTTGTCTGCAGTACGATTGTTGTATAGCAGGCAAATGTTGTTTGTATCGTTAATGAATGCATACTTATGTTGGGTTCGGGGCCGTGCCCCAATGGAATGTAATTTGCATAGGCAGCTTGTACAGGTGTGTGAGCTTATTCTGCCACAAAGACCAGGGCATGCCATCAATTAGTGTGTAATTGAATCATTCTAGCTTGAACTTTCAATGAGACAACTTTTATTTACAATAAAAGTGCGTTGTGTCATGTTATGTTACGACATGACTGTGTTTTATTAAGGTTTTCCGGAGTTTTTATGCTCGTTGAGTTTTACCTCTGTTTTTTTATCCTGGACCATGGTCGGTCCAGTTTCCAGTGAAGGAAACAAGAAGAAATGTTTCTTAAACGTTCATACCGAATAAACGGCTGGCTCTCAGTAGTCGTTGTCAGGCTATCTTACACAAATTGAAGTGTGTTATTTGTTTGTATTGGGAGTCAAGAGGGATGACAGACGAAATAAAATGTGAAGTTATAGGACAGACAATAATAATAATGATATAGATAATAATAATGATAATAGTAATAAAAATTATAGTAATGATAGTAATGATAGTAATAATGATGATGATAATGATGATGATGATGATGAGGATGATGATAATGATGATGATGATGATGATGATGATAATGATGATGATGATGATGATGATGATGATGATGATGATGATGATGATGTCAATAATATGATAATAATAATTAATAATTGATATATTGATTTTTAATATTTTGTTTGTTTGTTTCACCAGCACAAAGCCAGAGGAGGAAACCCAACTCAGGAGGAATATGATTCATCTATGTGCAACCAGGTCAGTCTACATTTTCAAAGATACATTGTTTTTAGATAATCTTTGAAGTTTGAAGACAATTAAGAGTTCTCTTTGAAGAAATTAATTTTTGTAGAAACTGTTGGGAACTGTCATTGTGTTCTATTTGAAATTTCCAATGTATTCTATATCAATATTTATTCAGTTTGGTTGTTGGCTTGAACAATCATTTTAAAAGTAATGAAAGCTTCCTGATAAATGCACATGTTACCATGAAAACATGTATATTCATGTGACCAGGGCTCGTCTTATAAAGAGTTGGACATAAGAGATAGGAGACTGATTGATCCGGATCAATCGCAAGACGGGGCCAGGGGTGACATTACAGACTTTGGCAGACCTCTAATCATTGGTATTATGTTGATTTCTCATAAGGGTTCTACACTAACTGCTCTAGAAGGGGGGGGGGGGGGGGGTCCAGATTTAGATTTGTAGACTCTATATGCATGAGCCTTATATACGAATGTTAAGGGGGGGGGGGGTCCAGATTTAGATTTTTAGACTCTATATGCATGAGCCTTATATACGAATGTTAAGGGGGGGGGGTCCAGATTTAGATTTTTAGACTCTATATGCATGAGCCTTATATACGAATGTTAAGGGGGGGGGGTCCAGATTTAGATTTTTAGACTCTATATGCATGACCCTTATATACGAATGTTGACATATCGAGGCGGGTCCAGACTGCGATTCTAGGCACCAAGCTATCCTTGATGCCTGTTAGTGTCGAGCCTTGTTTTAGTCAATGCTATTGGTTTGAGAGCTTTCTATTAAAGGCATTGTTTAACAATATTAAATATGAGAAGCACGGCCCTATATGTTATAAGTGTCTAGTGATATGGTATAATATTGAAGCTCTAAAAAAATTGTGATTCAAAATGATCATGAAGTGCCTAATCATAAATATCTTGATAATCAGACAGGCGATCGGCTTGTAAAAATCATGGGATTCCTGACTGACCTAAGGTTTATCATTATGATTGCAGCATGAGCTAAATCCAGGATTTTGTTTCAGAATCTGAGGCAATGTTACTGAGTCACTTTAAAAGAGATGAACTTTTTCGATGATCATTGTTTTTTCAAGAAATAACTACAATTGACAACAATATAAGAGGGCGGTATCCTTTATCTTATTTGCTTGATCAGCCTAAATCGAGTTAGTAGCTTAGCTGCAAACACTGACTCTTATATGATATGTAAACAAATTTACTGACGTGGATGACGGAAATTTGACACTGGATATGTCAAATAACCATAAACAGCATATGATCTATGTGTATAGTCTACAGTCCATGTAGTTCACTGGACTTTGCTAGATTGAGGAACAATGTTGTGTCAATGAACTTTGTAGTGTCATTTTTAGTGCTAGGTCGTATTCTTAAACTAGATTGATATTAAAATCATACCTGCTAGTATTATTATTTATTTATTCATACCTCTAGACTGGCCTCCAACGAGAAAAAAAAGTCTCCTTCCTCTATGTCTATGATTTAAGCAGTGTCTGGATTGTGTAAACTATTTTACTAACTCATTTTTTCTCGCTACTAATAACATTACATAGTCTGTGTAATCCAGAGGTCATCTAAATTTGTCTCCTGTGACATGCATGTATGCTCTGGGCTTCACTTGTCAGAAACGTAGGTTCATTGTTTTTTATTACAAAATGGGTTTTAGGTTAGGCTTAGACTTAGACTTCGGGATAGGGTTTTATAATGTTTTTGGTAAGGGTTGTAGCTAGGAATTTGTTTAGTTTACCGAATTGACACTTGACAGCAGGGCATTTGTTGCTAAAGCACATATTGCAGAACCAATCCAGCTACACTATGAAATTCAGTTTGATTGAAAGGTGTTAATGTCAGTCTGCCAGGTATTCGACACATGCTCCTGTAGCAGTCGCTCTGTGGTAATTTCTTACACCAACCAAATTCCTGTCTTCAATGTCGGACCCAATACTATACCTAAGGGCTAACCCTAAGCCTACAGCCCTACACCTAACCTTAAAAGTAATTGCAACCTTAACCCTATACTTCTGATGAAATAAAGTCAGGAGCAGTAAAGTCGCGGGAGTAAATTTCAGATCACCCAGTTCGCCTGTGAGCCATGTAGATTCCCTATTCACAGCTCTTGTTTTTTTTAGAGAGAGATCCTTTGTTGTCTAGATATTAACATTAGCCCAGTACCTATAGGAACTGTGTTGTAAATGTATTAAGCCTATAAGAGTACCGAAATAGATTTCCTATAGGAACTATATTTATTCAGATGGTCATGTCCCTGCTTTAACATATATATATTCAATTGGTTTTCAAAATTTTAACATTATCTTTGTTGCTCTTTTGGAAAATAAAGGAAAAAAAGGAGAAATTCCCACAATAGATTTTTGATGGCGTCACACTTCACCACTCTATGGGAATGAAATAATTCAGTAGTCAATATGTTAATGTGTACTGTGGATGCGATTATTATTGACGCATTGCAAACTGGTTGTGATACTGAACCGAGAATGGGTCTTTGTAGTCCAGGGTAGCTGTTTACCTATTTTTATCCTAGATTGTTATCTCACAATGCCGCATGGATTGTGAGATATCAAAGGTGCATGCTTCCTATGAAATGTAGGTTTACCAGTATGACTTTGAATCCAGAATGAGAATAGAACTACAGTATTGCATGAATTTAAAGTAAACACTCTCACACTGTGTCACGCATGACTGTGTGTAGTATTCCATAGAATTCAGTGTGGCTTGGTGTTTAATAGAGCATCTACTTTATTTCAATCAATACTGTACCTGCATTATTGAATTGAATTGAATAGAATAAGCCATTTTCAAAATGTATTCAAATCAAATCCATACGTTTTCTTTAATAGCTTAGAGCTATTATATTCACCTGTTATATATCATTGTATTCCAATACCCAGAATGCCAATTGCATACGTGTACATGAGTTGTTGGTATGTCTAGCCCTAAGGACAACACGTAATCCATTCTGACTTTTGAATTGCAATTTTTTGTAACATCTGAATAAAACAATTCATAACAAAGCATTAAAAAAATATGTATGCATTAGATAAGGTTACATTACGGAAATGGCCTGTTGAATTGAAATTCATGTATTTACATTATCACATAACGGAACAGAATGAAAATGGCTATTCTATATACTCAACATCGGTATGTCGTATTAAAGGGATTTGGTAACTTTGTCTCAAGTTCTGATACAAAATCCTGGATTTAGCTCATGTTGCAATGATAATAATAAACCTTTGGATCAGTCAGGAACCCCATCACTTTTAAAAGCCTGTCTGATTATCAAGATATTTATGATTGGAAACCGAAATCAAATTTTGCGTTTTCCTAACGGTTCTCATAAAACTACAGTCTATTGGGGAAAATGGAAAAAGTATGGTAAAACCGGTCACTCACAGATTTTTACATTTTTGAGGCACTTCTTGGATCATTTTGAAGCGCAATTTGTTTAGGGCTTCAGTATTACACCATATCACAGACACTGATAACATGTAGGGCCGTGCATCTCAGATTTAACATTGTTAAACGATGCCTTTAACAATGATAGTGTATTAATGACATCGGGGAACCTACGTTATGATCTAATTGATTTTACTTCTTTTTAGGCTCCAGGGGCACCGGACCTTTCTGTCCTCTCATTCAATGGAGCTTTTCATGGCAGAACTATAGGTAAGAATTCTAACTTTGTTCTCTCTTTCTTCATTTTTCATCTCTCGCTCTTTTTTTAACCATGCCTTCCCTTTGTTCCTTTTTTGTTTAATTTTGTCCCTTATGTCATTATTTGTTCATTTGAACTCTCGCTTTTTCCCCTTTCTCTCCTTTCTCTCCTTTCTCATTTAGTTTTCCACACCTTTTTTGCCATTCCCGTCTTATTCACTGTCCACCTGCACACATTTCCTATCTTTAATATCTTCTTTTTCCACTGTTCCATACCTCAATTATTCATTTCTTTCCATACTCCTTCAATTTCCATCTGCTCTCTTCTTCCTCCTCTTCTCTTCCTCCTCTTCCATTTCTCTTCTTCTTCTTCTTCTTCTTCTTCTTCTTCTCCACCTTTTTCTTCTTCTCCACCTTTTTCTTCTTCTCCTCCTTTTTCTTTTTTTTCTTCTTTTCTCCTTTTTCTTCTTCTTCTTCTTCTTCTCCTTCTTCTTTTTCTTCTTCTTCTTCTTCTTCTCCTTCTTCTTTTTCTTCTTCTCCTCCTTTTTCTTCTTCTCCTCCTTTTTCTTTTTTTTCTTCTCTTCTTCTTCTTCTTCTTCTTCTTCTTCTTCTTCTTCTCCTTCTCCTTCTCCTTCTCCTTCTCCTGCTCCTCCTGCCCCTGCTCCTCCTCCTCCTCCTCCTCCTCCTCCTCCTTCTTCTACTTCTTTTGCTTCTCCTTCTCCTTCTCCTTCTCCTGCTCCTCCTGCCCCTGCTCCTCCTCCTTCTTCTACTTCTACTTCCTCCTTTTTCTTTTTTTTCTTCTTTTCTCCTTTTTCTTCTTCTTCTTCTTTTCCTTCTTCTTTTTCTTCTTCTTCTCCTCCTTTTTCTTTTTTTTCTTCTGTTCTTCTTCTTCTTCTTCTTCTTCTTCTTCTTCTTCTTCTTCTTCTCCTTCTCCTTCTCCTTCTCCTTCTCCTTCTCCTTCTCCTCCTCCTGCTCCTCCTGCCCCTGCTCCTCCTCCTCCTCCTCCTCCTCCTTCTTCTACTTCTTTTGCTTCTCCTTCTTCTTCTTCTCTCCTTCTAATACTTTTACCACTTCCTCCTCAAATTCTTTTCCTTGTATATTTCTTCCTTTCCTCTTCTGTTGTACCCTTTTTATTGCTTCTTTTCCTGCTTGATAAAGATGCCTCAATGATATTTCTTCAGGATTCATCCTCTACATTGCACCATCTTATGCTAAAATAATTTTTAAAAAACATCTGCAGGTATGAAGATTCTCTGTTTACAGCCAGAAGGACATTAACTCATATCCTTGTGCATAGATTTAATGCTTTTCTTGCTCTAAACAGACACATATCATGTATATTTGATTGTAGGTATGTTGGCTCTGACTCACTCCAAACCAATCCACAAGGTAGACATTCCATCCATAGACTGGCCGTCATCAGACTTCCCGGCTCTCAAGTACCCCATAGACCAGCATGCACAGGAGAACAGGGTGGAGGAGGACAGGTGCTTACAGATGGTACAGGATTATGTTACTGAAAATTTGTCATTTCAAACACACCATAATATTATCCAACCCTGTCCATGATAAAGGCAGTTTCTTCTGAAAGCAGGAGAAGTTAACCCATTGCGATGTTTAAACCTTAATACATTTAGCACAGCCAAACCTACCCCAAACCAATCCCAGACGGATCCCAGACCAATTGATTCCTGGCAATTTGTTGGTGATCATTATTTTGTTCAGTTTGTTGTCGGTCTGGTGTCGGTCTCCTTGGTGTGACTTGGGTACTACATTCATTGCTGACATTTATTCACAATTCATCAATAAAACAAAGCACCTTGAATGTTGATGTACAACAATTGTCCAAAAATGCAGAGGCCCAGAAAGGGTTACATATGTGCTCTTGAGGGTGGGTATAGGTATTGATGACAATTGAGTGATCTGCTCAGTGATTTAAAGGGAAATAAATCCCAAACTCCTTGTATCTTCTCCCGAAGGTGAGAGACAAGATTGCAGAGTATGCAGCCAAAGGCAAGCCAGTAGCAGCGTGCATCGTGGAACCTGTACAGGCTGAAGGAGGAGACCATCACGCTACACCATACTTCTTCATTGAACTACAGAAGATTCTCAAAGAGGTAAGAATTTTGCTTCATATGTCAATAATAAGCAATCCTTTTTTTACCTTCTTCTCCTGTGGACTGGTCTCTTTTCAATTTTCAAAAATCATGTGTCCCAATGATGGAAACATTTTCATCCTGTAGATGGAAGAAAAATAATGATGGCTACAAGAGCTGTTTCATTTGCCCCTGGGCCCCACCTTTAATGCTGGTAATACTCGGTAAAGCATCCGTCTGTCGAACCAAAGATCCCGGGTTCGACTCCCACCCAGGCGGATGACTGAAGCCTGCGTTGTGTGTTAAGGTGCCCTTTCCCTTGTTCATAGACGCAGGTTATGTCAAGTGGAAAACACTATGTCCCTCGGATAGGACGTTAAATGGAGGCCCCGTGTAAAGAAGAGTCACTACCTTTGCACGTTAAGAACCCACTGCACTATTCGTATAAGAGTAGGGGGAAACCCCGGTGTAGTGGTCCACCTGCACACACCCCCAGTATAGTACAATAATACTCTGTAAAGAGGTCTGTACTTAATAGGAAGAAGGAAGAAGAAAGATGGCATACAGTTAGAATAAGGATTGATTTTAGTTTGACTAGTTTGACTATCCATATTACAATTGTTTTTAAATTGACAATCTTTTTTTACATCCAAGTGTGGATCCTGACATTATTTGTCTTCTCTTACAATCACAAAATCTCTAAATCACCATTCTCAATGATCTATGTCGTCCCACTAGGTTGGAGCAGCATTCATAGTAGATGAGGTGCAGACGGGAGGAGGTATAGCTGGGACTATGTGGGCTCATGAACAGTGGAACCTACCAGAAGCACCCGATGTGGTCACCTTCGCCAAGAAACTCATCACAGGGGGATACTACTACAAGCCTGAGTTTGCTCCCAAGATGGTAAGAGTTAACTACCGTATTTGCTGGCGTAAAGGCCGCAGTATTTTTGGAAGAGAAAATATCAAAAAGTCGGGGTGCGGCCTTTACGGCGAAACAGAAAAAAAAAAAAAAAAAAGTCAAAACCAGCACAAATTTGTAAATATGGGACTAGATCTACGAACGGTACAATAACTATACATTTCCACACATCTTACCGACAATTTTATCCTGCATTGTTGACATGAAGACAAAAATAAACTTCCAAAAACAACATCTGCCGATGGATTTTGATCTAAGTTCGTGCCAATGCATTGCAAAAGTTAAAGAAGGGCCCGTTTAACGGGAGCTGCCGCGAAGCATCCAGCACGCGAAGTCGCCATTTTCAATCCATTTCAATGACTACATCACAGAAAACTGCAGTGTATGGTATCAGTGCAGGATGGCCGAGCGGTTTAAGGCGGTGATTTTAGTCACATCAACATTTGTACGCAAGAGATCGAATCCCGACTTTGGCAAAAGATTTTTTTTTTTTTTTAAATGTCAAAATCGGGGGTGCGGCCTATACGGCGCTGCGGCCTTATCGCCGGCAAATACGGTACCCTTTGTGTAATATTGTTTAAAGTGACTCGGTAACATTGCCTCAGATTCTGAAGCAAAATCTTGGATTTAGCTCATGCTGCAATCATAATTATAAACCTTTAGGTCAGTTAGGTCATGACTTTTACAAGCCGGTCGCCTTTCTGAATATCAAGATATTTATGATTGGAATTTCAAAAGCTGTTTTCCCAACGGTTTTTATAACACTACAGTCTATTGGGGATAATGAGTATGATCATTTTGAAGTGTAATTTTTTTTAGGGCTTCAATATTACACCATATCACAGACACTGATAACACATACATGTAGGGCCGTGCATCTCAGATTTAACATTGTTAATTGATGCCTTTAAAGAGATTTGGAAACATGTATAAAGCTTGAAAGGCTAAACTGATTTGATTTTGCATACATGTAGGTCAATAGTCAAGTGAACAAATTGATTATAGATGAGTAGAAATAACGGAAAGTTGTCAAATGATATTGGTAGTTAATTGACTGTTAGAAGAAACATACTGAAGATGCAGTCACATTCATCCAGGTTCATAGGCAAATATCTAGGCCCTGTTTCATAAAACTTTTAATTAATATTCAGGTGTCACATTTCTTTAACAAATTTACTCACCGCCAATCAAAAGCAGCCATTTTCAGTAGCTTACATGTTCTATGTTTTTGAAATTTTATGAAAGAGTGCCCTGGGGTGTTTCATAAAGCTGTGCATTAAGTTATACGCATGACTTTACAGATGAGAATATGGAGAGCTATTTTAAATGGGATTCTCAAATCCTTTTAATTGCATCAGCTACAGTTGAAATATGCAGATGTAGATTAACCTTATCATAATTAACAAAACATTTTAATGCAAAGTGTATTTTTGGCTACAATTTAATTGAGATTATGGGAAATACAATCACACTTTGTTAAAATGTCATGAAAAACTTTGGGCATCCCATTTGGCTCTTCATATTCAAGTCATTTGTAAAGTCATTCGTAACTTTACGCACAGCTTTATGAAACACCCCCCTGATCCCTTTGTTTTTCTAGGCATACCAAGTATTCAATACATGGATGGGAGAGCCCACCAAGCTGATAATGCTGGAAGCCATTGTTGAAACCATCAAGAAGGATAACCTCCTAGAGAACGTTCAGAACTCTGGAAAGCTCCTCTTGAGCGGACTGGAGGAATTACAGGTAAGAATTAAAATTCATTCTGCATAACACCACTCTTTCAACGTCTCCACCATATAGAAATGGATTTTAAATGCTAAACACATCAGGCATTGTAAGCTAGGAAATATAAACATTGAATGTTAGTTCTCATAATAAGCTTGTGCTCATTTAAATGCAAACCAATTATTGTGAACACGAACCTGAATGTCCTTATTAGGGTATTAGCTTTGACATGTTGAGCTGTCTTTTAGTTTGTCTTTCCATAATATGTAATCTGGGGGTTTTGTTGACAATATTAGGTTATCATGGAACAAATAGTATAGCTCACAATACAGGAAGATAACCACTGAATAGATGATCAGAATGACTTCTAGACAGCTCCTTTCAAATTACTAATCAACTACAAGTACTGAATATTATTCATTATGAGTCTACACAATGATACCCCAATTATGGAATAGTACAGTCAAACCTGCTTTAGTGACCACCCGTCTACAAAGACCACATTTTTGGTTTCCCTTGAAAATAGTTTCTCAATGAAACATGTACTAAAGGAACCTGTTTACAAAGACCACCTGCCTACAAAGACCAATATTCGTGTTTCCCTTGGGCAGTTGCTATAGACAGGTTTGACTGTATTCATTAAAAGTATTATAAAGATACGGCATGATTTGTCTTTCTTATTGAAAATGGATTATTTTCTCTCCTTTCTTCAGGCCAAGTACCCACAGTTCATGTCGAGGGCCAGAGGAATGGGAACCTTCATAGCCATTGACCTCTCGTCTCCCGAGACTGCAGCAGAGATTGTGGCCCGAGGGAGGAAAGCAGGTAAGAACACATCTCAAACCATTACTTTTGGGGTCAAGCAGTCCATCTTTTGTGGTTTTGTTCAATAACTTTCAATTCAGAATCTTAAAAAATATATACCAGATGCATGAAAGGAAAGGGCAAAAAATGTGTGCATGCACTGTGTCCTAATTGTTGCATGACCATATTGTGTCTGACGCCAGGAATTTTAAAAAGGATAAATTAGCTTTAAATTGGAAATATGTTGGGAGATTCAAAATCTTTGTCTTTCAAATTAGTCATTTGTTCGACTTCCAAACTAATTGGCACCCATGTATATTGTTTTCAGAGACTTTTCATCTTATTAGCACATTGTAGCATTAAAAGAAGACAAATATTGTTGCTGCCAATTTGAAGAACAGTATGTGATCACTTTAACCCTTAGGGATAAGCCAGTTTATAGTTAGGCAAGTTAAAGGTATTTTGACATTTTAAGTCCTGTATGTTACCAAGTATCCGGGTATGATCATAAACATAAATGGACACCAAAAGTAACATTTTACTTGAAATTAGGTCTGATCTAAGCACCGGTAGAGCTTGCAAATCAATAACCTGTTACCATTTTTAAAATTAGTTGTTTTAAACTTCAAACCTGTCACTATGACATGTTAAAACCCCTCATGGACCACCATGGATGAGATTGAATATCAAACATGCTGGGCCCTATTTCACAAAACTTGTCATCCGTGACAAATGGCATTTTTTGTTATAAGCTAGTGAAATCCTTGCTTCTGATTGGTTATCAGTAGAATTGCCTCACTGATTTTTGTCATTTGTCCTTGAAAAAAGACTTTGTGAAATGGGTCCATAGTATCCCAGTGTTCTGGATTCATCAGATTTACTACTAATTTTACTTTGTATGTCTCATTGAAGAGACTACATGAGATCCCGCATGTGCATATAGTTGTCTTCGCAAGCTAAGGCTTATGAAAAGTAACTTTTCATAACGCAAATTATACTTCAATTTCCATCGAAAATCTTCAGTATATATATTATAAACAAAGTTTACTTTGACTTATTAAATCTCTTCCTCGACACTCATAAAATAAAGATCAAACTTTAAACGGTAACTTCTTGTTTAATTTTGTTGTTTTTCTGTTTCATTTCTCTTTGTAGGCTTCATCCTTGGAACCTGTGGCAAGCAGTCCCTCCGTTTGCGCCCCGCCCTCATCTTCCAGTCTCAGCATGCCGAGATGTTACTGGATGAACTCAGTCACATCATGTCAGAGCTCTAGATGACTCTGATATGGACATTATGGCCCAAATTCCCAAAGGAGGTTTAAATTTAACCCATGGTCTAAATTTAGCGCAAAATAGGCGTGACACTGTCAGAGGTTCTTATATTAGATGCGCACAAGGCAAGGTACGCTTAATTTGCGCTAATTTTAAACCATGGGTTTTGTAAATGAGGGTTTAAACCATGGGTTAAATTTATACTTCCTTTGTGGATTCGGGCCCTTATGTTTCCAACCAGGGTTTAGGGGTAGGGTTTCAAGAGAAGGTTGAGTTCTGAGCTCAGTCACATCATGTCAGAGCTGTAGAAGATTCTGATATAGACATGTTGGCCCGTTGCACAAAACTTACCATTGATGGGAACTTTGCCATCAATGATAACTACCATGGAACCTTGATTTTGATTTGGCTGTTGAGCCCTGTTACCATGGTAGTTGCCATTGATGGCATAGCTATCAATGGGCCTGTGTGTTTTCAACCAGGGTTTAGGGTTAAAGAGAAGGATGAATTCTGGTAAAGCTGAAAAATAATTTGTTTTATGGCACTTTGGAAGAATAATATAGCTCATTTGTCCCCTGTAAGGATCACTCTGAAAATTCCCTCATACTCAAACGATGATAAATAGCTAAAAAATTGTGTAGTAACCACACCATGTGGTGTGTGTAGTCCATAACATAATTTTAGCAAGAATGAATGAATGATTGGATTTCCTATCATTTAGAAGTGTCCAATTTCCACAGTGTACTCAAATTCTTATATACCGGTACTACGTATGTAGGCCAGAGAAGACCAACACAATTGCATACATTCCAACTGTTCAGATTAAAGAGGAACATTCCTCTTTTTGGGAGAAGATAATTATCATTTTAATGCAGGTGTTCCTCTTCCTGTATAAATTTGTCTGTAGTATTGAATAGGAGAGTTAGGATTGTTCCTCTTTTTTTTTTTAAATAGCATAATTTGTACAGATTTCTGATTTTCAAATGTTGGCATGTATGCAATTGGTTAATGTTGTTTTCTTCATATTCACTGCCTTTTTATAAATTTTGAATAGGGACAATGGAGGATTCTTTTGTCGAATTTTGAAGAATGTATATCTAAATCAAACCAAAGTACTAGAATTAGCTCGTAGCTTTTTTTGATGGAAGGCAGAGTGAAACGTGGAAATGTAAAATAGTTTTTACTATCCTTAAAAGTAAATGAAATACCGGTAGCTATCATTGTTAAAATGGAAAGGAAAAAATTGTTCTTGATTTTTAAACATACATGTACATGTGGTCATGTTGTGAATTTGTGAAGAACAAATTCCATTATAAATAAAATAAAATATTATGAGCGATGGTACATGTTACCTCAGTCACAATAATAATCTAGAATTATTTCTTGACTGAATGGAGTTAAACATATGTTTGTACACCTCTTGAACAATCAAGTAGTTTTCCTGAAACTCTTGAATATCCATTGATTCCACCCAAAGTGAGACCTTAGCAATCTTGCCAAAACGCAAATTATTATTATACTTTTATTTTATATTAAATCGAATATCGAACCATGTGGAATAAGTTTTGTTTTTGCAGCAAAGAAGAAAGAAATTTAGTCTAGTAAGACAAGGTAGTTTTTGTAACGCCTCTTCAGGAAGAAACAGTTATACATTCCTTTATGCAGTACCCAGTCTACTTATCTTCAGCACATTTTGTATGTACGTTGCTCTGTTCACTTTTATTTCTTTAAAGTAATGACATAAAACTGTACAGCACATAGGTAGGTACTGTATTTTATGCAACTAGTCCAAACTTTTTTTTCCATATGTAAATGGATATGTACGTTACTTTTTAATTTTGTTGGCATTAAAGGTAAAGACCAGTTATGGCCATGCGATTGCATTGTGAAAGAAACGTTGTGGAATCGATCAGAAAAGGTTGATCATCTAGCATCTAGCATCTGCAAGGTTCTGGAATCATCAAAATGATAAGAAATTTGGCCCATTCTTCGTAAAGTTACAAGCACTATACACAGAAAGATGTATATGGGACTACCCTATATCTCTCACAGACCATGAGAGAAACAAATTTACCAAATATATGAATTAGTAGGCGGTTTCCCGGCAAATTTTTTATCATCATGTATTAGTCAAAACATATTCTTTCACATGATTGGTAATGAGAGATTCCATTTCATTTTTTGAAATTGGGACATTTCCAATACTGGTCTTTACCTTTAAGGTAGTGCATGGAATGTAAATTTTTGTACATATCGAAGAAGTGAATTTCATATCGTCTTATTGACACGTTCACACATGGCAGGAGAAACGAATAGCAAGTGGGAATGATGAAAACAAAAAGTTATGCAACAAGGTCCTACACATACTCACTCTCTGTGTTGTATAAGGTTCGGACATGTGTAGCTTCTTACATTTTGATAAGACAATGCTTTGGTTTGTTCTGTCGTATGTGAACGATTCTGTATGAGTTATGATTGGTGAAAAGAAAAAAAAAAAAATTCACATATTGTATTTTGCTTTTTGCTTTTTGCTTTTTTTGTCTTCCTCCTTTGTACTCATATTATTCTTTAACCAGTATTAACATGATATTTAATCATTGATTATGATGACAATCAATCATTGAATGATGTATTGGCTGTGAGAGTTATATTCACAATGTCTTTTGTTTTATAAACCCTACCGATATTTTCCTCAAAATTTTCAATTAACATGAGAGCGACGTGAAGAATATATTTTGTTTGATATGTACATAGAAATTGATGTGATTTATTGATATCTTTTAAACAGTCTGATTCCCTGGTAAATGCATACACGTACAAGGCTTTACAGAGGATGAATTACCAAAAATGATTTCACACAGCATGGTTTGGCTTCCATGTTATTATGCTATTTTCCAAAAATCTACCAATTTTTGGTCATAGGGGGTAATGTAAAAGTTTTTTTGATCTGGTGTCGGTTTGTTGGTGTCACTGGGGTTATTCGTAACATGTTTGATTACTCTCTGAATGAATATAAAAATGACATGCACAGAGACTACTTGATGCTCCTGTGCGCAGAGTTTTAATGTTATCCTTTATTTTCTTCATACTCTGTAACTCCTACTTCATAATCACTAATTGGATAATGAACATATTGAAGACATATGTTGATATATTAGAATTTATTACATTAACAACTGACTACATGTATAATAAAAGCCAACCCTTTTATATATTTGTATCATAATAGAAGATTTTAGAAATCTCTTTTGAATTTGAAATGAATTATTGATGGTATAATTTGCAAAATGTATTACATGTATATCTAGCTTTGCATGGAACATAGTTAAAGATATGGATATGATTTGCTATGAATTTCATGATAGGGATACAATACCACTTGGTTTTCCTAATAAGCCTGAAAACAATCCAAAACAACTTTTACTCACTTAGATTCTGGACATTAAAAAGTCTTAAATAGCGTGAAATAGTAAGGTGAGATTAAAATAGGAGGCAAAAGCCTACCTTTTTTGTATCCCTTGTATATGTACGTAAAAAGAGAAAGAAATATATATGAAGTAATATATCATTGGTCAAAACATATATAGTAGCTTAGAACAGAATTTACAAGAAAAAATTTACAGTTGTAATTTTGTGAAAAATTAGAATTCTTAGTACTTGGTAAGATTTTCTTTTGGAATAAATTTCTATAATGTACAGGTAACCTTGATAAACATACCTCTAATTCCTTTTTGTTTATTTCAAGATTCCTTTTTATCCGCCAACTTTCAAAGTCGTTTGTTTTACTTCTTCTTTCTTGCAATTATTATTTTTTGGTTAGGGTTGTTGATTCTGACTGCTGTGTACAATAGTATAAATCTGATATAATCACTCTCTTGCAAAAAGTCAAGTCTCTGTATCAAAACAAATGGAAGAAATATTTTGTACTCCTTATCAACGAACACTTTGTTTGAAATTTGTATATCTATAATCATGCTCTGAATGTATATTTTCTATTAAATATAATGGAATTACTATATCCTAAAAGTTGCATTACGTGTATGTGTCTTAATTCTCTCAGTAATGTGTGCCATGCATGCTACTATTTCCTCATCTTGATCTATGTGTTCACGAAAGGATTTTTTTTTTTTATTCATTCATTGAATCAAGCAGTGTTTTAAAGATTAACATGCCTTTTCTCTCCCCACCTCCCCTGTTCTATTTGAGCTTCCCTCTCCTATTTTTTTCAAAGGGAGTTCTATTCCAATAATCACAAGTAACTCCTCTTAATCATCCCCCTCCTCTCCCTCTCCCCCCCCCCCCCCTCCTCTCTCTCTCTCTTCTCCTCTCTCTCTGTCTAAAATTACCACAAACAAAATGAATCTCTACCATAAATATGATCTACATTCATTTGTTTTTCCTTTTTAATTCAATAATCTCTTTGTTTGTACAAAACTTACTATACAAATAATCATGGTAAATACGACTGTTATTATTTTGAAAACTGCAACAAAAATAGTACTATACAAATAAGTGTTAATTTCTTTGTCAAACTCCTCTAAATAAAGATAATACTATTTCTAATAATTCTAGTACTACAGACCATATAACTATGTGTATCATGATATAAACATGGTGTATAAACTTCTTATACAATCAACATACAAAATTGCAATGTTTTTTTTTTCTTCTCTCAAATCAGTTAAACGAAACAAGAGAAATCATACTCTATAAATACACTTAATCCTAGCCATGACTGGAAATACATCTGTTAATGATGCATGATCAAATATTTTGAGTATAGCTGTGGTAATATCAATACAAATAATATATGAAGAAACATATGATTATTATTATTAAAGTATCTTCCAATCAAATCTTTCAAATCAATAGCTTACATAAAAGTATATTATACAAAACAAATGAAGTGATATATTACCTGCACATAATGAGCAATTCATATATGGCATTTACATGTACATACATGTAGCAAGATTTCTGTCCAATGCTATAAGCATCGCAGAAAGGGATGTCGATACATGATTACTGGATATATAATCATCCTTATAAATCATCCAATGCCCCTAATATGCAAGGCCTTGGGGCAATTGTCGCCAAACATCTACAGGAAATGCCCTAACAGAACTTTGGATACCCCCCCCCCCGCCCCTAAACTCTTTAAAGATGTTTGTGGGGGGGGGGGGGGGGTACATCCCAAAGGGGATTCAACTATTATTTGAGCATTGATTGATATATGGCAGATTATTCAAAAACAATACAGAGACATGTATTAGAATGATTCTATTATAATATCACATCAATCCTTTTTTTTTCTTCTTGCTTCTGATCATGTACATAACCTAGACTATTAACTAGAAAGGCAAGATATGAGTTGGTCAGGTGGTCGCCTCTGAGGTTTGCCTAAACAACGGCCTAGGTTTCGATGAAGAATCGTATCTTTCAGGTGGTGACATTATTGAGGCTGGTCAATAGTAGACCCCCAAAAATCAGTCTATTTCCTTCTAGGATATCTTCAGCTGAGACTATGTCTGGCTTCAATAAATAGATGAGAGCGTCAACAGACAAAATGTATTAAAAAAATCCTCCAAGTAGACAGATTTTTCTGTCTAGGTCACTAGATAAACAACGATATCTGATACACGTCTGTAAAACACAGTACACATGTCGTAAAATGCTTTGAGTCACAGACATCTGAAATTTGCCCTTAAATTTCCCCCAAGTCAAGTTGAATAGTGATGCTTTAAATGTATGTTACAAATATCATTGGTTAAATACAGGGCAGTTTAATGTTTATATCAGATTTGTCAAGAAAAAAAATGTGAAGGAAATATGAATTTTGTCCTTCTGTACACTCTGATATTTTAACTTGATCCTTGGTGCAATTTATACCCAGTAGTACAATAAATTAGCAACACAACCAAGGGCTAGGCTAAGCCTTGGTTGAGTTGGTTCCCTACATTAAAACAGAAACTAACAGAAATATCAGGCATCAGGGTGGTCAACAAAGGGCTTTAGCATATCAAAACAACAGGTTTGGGAATGAGCAAGAGGTCAAAATAAATTTTCAACCAAAATTATTTATAAAATTTTAGTCATCAATTTTGTTTGTCAATGCTTCAAATTATGGCCCAGACTGCCCCAGAGAGCATCTAAAGACCCTAGTGAGCCCAGAACCCCAGCCAATACATGTAGTGACTTTGCGCTTCACACACACACACACACACACATCGGTTCATGCTCCTTCCAATTTGGAGTTTTACATGTTTGCATTTGTGTATGTGGACCGCCCTGATACATACAATTATGATGTAGTAATGGATGAAAATCTATTCTGAGTTCTGAGTTTGGTTCAACAGACACACACACACATCACTAATTTTAAAGCTAATCATCGATGCCTTCAAGATACCTGTATAATCATGTTACAAATATAATCAACTGCATTTCATGAGTTGTTGCAAAATGATTATGTCATAAGGCAAGAAAATATGTTGTTTGTCTATAATGTAAATGTATCTTAGGCTAATACAACATCTACACGTATACCCCGGTATATGAAATCCTCAACTACTTAGTTCATAACTGTGATTGAATTAATATAAAGCATCAGGAATACAATAATTAAACCCTAATTTTTTTTCTTAAATGAGTTTCAGAGTGTTTCAGATTGGCAAAACTGATTGAATCACAACATTGTATTTGGGCATTTCTTGAGTTTCTCGCTGCGAAAAGGGACAATGTTAACATTCTTTTAAAGGAACTGGTTGTACACTATGTACAGTAATGTCAAAAACCCACTCACAACTTGAGCCTCACCCCTTTTCATTAAACTTTATGAATGTAATCAATCAGAGCCATATCACTCGAGCATCGTTTCACGAAAATGTCATATGGTAAAAAAAAATTCAACAACATCCCATTGTAGTTGCATGGGTTGTCAGTGACCTTGTACTTCTGACGGTTTTGTGAAACGATACCCTGGAATCTTGGCAGGAATTGATTATCCATGGTCAAAGAGAAATATTGTGGCCTGTCAAAATGCAACTGCACCTGAACTCATTATGATGATTAAGATCAAAGGCTAGCTTCAAGCATTTAAACATTGAAAGGATTTAAACTCTGGGACAAAAACAACTAAATAAACTAAGAGAGAGAGAGACCTGTTTGGATCATATTGGGGAAATTTCATCCCCTTTAAACCGAACACACAAGCTGAAATTTCAGATAAACATGTAAGAACATGGTTTTATATGTAACAAAATACTTTTGTAGAAATTAGTATAAAAAGTACAGTAAGTATTTTTATCCACAAAAATATCTTGCTTATAGATGTTATGGATGAATATTCCTACTTATTCAAATATAGAAATGTAAATAAATGTAGAATACTCATCTACTGAATATACATGTAGGTCTACTCATGTACATGTACATGTACATGTCTTATATACATGCAAATAGATAATATAGATGGGCAGGATACAGATTATTCAAGTATGATGTACGGTATACACATAGAAAAACAGCCTTTGTGATAAATGCAATTTCAAACGAACCATACTTGTAATAAAACATATTTGCAAGAACTTCCAGAAAATAAATGAGAATTAGAATGATAAACTAAGCCTCTTTTTTCCCTTGAACATGTATATTTATTGGTTACAAAATGATTACAAGGTGAAATGCATGTAAGAAAAAAGAGCCTTGGCAAACTTGAAACACTGGCTTAGTTCAGCCAGTAGAGGGCTCATGTCATGTAATTACAAATGTAGGAATACAAATGGGTAGACACTCACAGTAGAGAGCTCTTATAAAGGGTAAACAGCAAGCAATTTGATGTTGCAAATGTGAACTGGGTCTGGTGTTGTGTTAAAAGAGATTGTCATGGGTTAACACTTGTGGCAGAGCACTCTAACGAGGGTCAACGCAAGCAATTGAACATATTAAGTGTGAAGTGGGTTTGGGCCTTAAGACTATGTTGCAATGGGTTGACAGTGACTCTCATGTAGGCAATTAGAAAACATTAATAGCACTACGCTACCATGGTTGAGAGCTCGTATGAACACCAATCAGCAAGCAAGTGTGAAATGAGTCATTTTATTTTGTTGCCATGGTGATAGCATCTCGTCCTCGACATAGCTTAAGGCATAACAAAATGATCAGCGATGGTTTCAGGATTAATGATGGATGTCCTCCACACTGCCTCATTACAGACGTCATTAAAAACGAATGGCTTCAGGCAACATGTCTTTCATTCTCGTTATTCATTCAATGTATGATCTTTTGATGCGGAACAGTACAATAGGAACATTTCCAGCTTCATTAATGGTCTCATACTCTCAATGCACACGTATATAAGAAATAATTGGAGAGATGGGTTGTCCACTAGGTTGTTGTGTGGCTAATGGTTTCCCAGGCCCTCTTTTAAAACAGAGAAACAAGAATTTTAATGGTCTTCCCATAAACAAGAATTAATGATGTTACATCTATTGCAGAGAAAATAGAGAGAAAAAAAATCGAGTTTTATTCAAGCCTCAGAATGGAATATGTATATGAAATGAATGGTTAAAGGCATAGTTTAACAATGCCAAATCCGAGATGCATGGCCCTACGTGTTATTAGTGTCTGTGATATGGTGTAATATTGAAACCCTGAAATAATTGTGCTTCAAAATGATCGTGAAGTGGCTCAAAAAATTAAAACTCTTTGAGTGACCGGTTTTACCATACTCATTTTCACCAATAGACTGTAGTGTTATAAACAAACGTTGGGAAAACGGTTTTTGAAATTTCGAATTCCAATCATTAATATCTTGATAATCAGACAGGCAATCGGCTTGTAAACGTCATGGGATTCCTGACTGATCTAAAGGTTTATTATCTTAACTGCTGCATGAGCTAAATCCAGGATTTTGTTTAGAATCTGAGACAAAGATATCCAACTGACCTGTAATCATGCGTGCCAGGTTTCATGATTTAGCCTGATATATCAACTAAGCCCTACCATCTACAGTATCTATCACATGATATATAGTTTCAGGGCTTCATTTTGTAGAGAACATATATGTAATATTCAATATACATGTAGCACATTTGCGTAAGTGGTATTTCTATGACATATGCTCAAGTCAAAGATGCGTAAGTCGACTCAGTCAAGGTTGACTGTAGTATGCCTGTGTGTGTGTCATGGAGGGAAATTAAAAGTAATCTTTACTTTACATATATGTGAAATATTCACCTCATGAGTGACAAAAGTTCAAAACTTGAGGGCACATAATTTCTCTCTCCTATTCAATAGATAAGAACACCATAAACTTAAACTGCTATTTATCCCCTATGCAAGCATTGGTGTGGCAAAAAGGAGGCGCAATGGCTCAGTGGCCGAGCAGTGGTCTTAATATAACCGGGAGGTCTTGGGTTCGAAACCAATAATGCACTAGTGAACTTTGGTATTAGGCATTGATCCTCATTACCAAGTCCCCCAAAGAGAAATTAAAGCTGTATGTCCCTTGGTTGCTTACTTACAAGCATAGCATACACAAGCTTTCTTTATAAGAGTCAGGTAAAACAAACAAACATACAATAAGCAGCTTACAAAGCATCAAATGGAGCCAATGAAAATGGCATAGATCAATCAAACATAAAACAACTACTCTCAAACTTTCACAGAGTGAGATGTCCAGTTGGATCCTGAGCTGGTTTGCACAACTTGTTGAGAACTCTAATTTCTTGAACCACGATTCTGGATAACTCGGCAAAATATTTAGAAGTTTTCTGCCTCTTGCCAAGGTCCTGTGTGTGTAAAGCTTACGAGAACCTCAAGCTCAATCTGTGATTGGATCAGTGCGCGACTCGGTGACATGTTAGATTTAGTGGGGCTTTAACATACATGTAAACAAAAAAGGCTAAACAAAAAAATAGACATGATTAGAAAATGCGTTGTAAACACAATGATTTGCTCGACACTTGAAGTAACTTGTGATTGCATGTTGTGCATCCATTGCTGGGGATCTCGACACTGTCTTCTTTAGTGATGGAAAGAGATCATGCGATGATTCCGGCTTAAGATCAAGACGTCGGGTCTTTTAACCACGTACGCAGTTCACAAACATCCCGCTCTACAATCAACAAGAGTTCACAGCCTTTCTGCTTGAGCTGAGAGCGTAGAAAGTCCAGGAATATTGCGGAGGTAGTGCCGATTGTCTGCGGCTTGCTCAGTTTGGAGTCTAGATTGTAAAAAGCGCCCTCTATATGGCGGAGGGCTATCCAGTGTTTGCGACGGATGGGGACGCTGACAAAGCCCAGCTGGATGGGCGAGGGTACGTTCATGATGAAACCCAGGATGTTGTCCAGTTCAAGTTGTTCCAGACTCCTGAGGAGAAGAATTAGGATCAAAAGATGAAACAAGTTCTAAAATAGAGAAGAGAAGTGTTGTGGTCTAGTGTCTTGTGTTAGAGATGTAAATTCCTTGTAGAAAGCTTTTAATTAAATCATCATTAATATTAATATCATTATTATCATAATTAATTTTGTTTTGTTTTATTTTGCTGTTATTGTTATCATCATCATCATCATCACCATCACCATCAACATCACCATCATCATCATCATCACCATCATCATCATCATCATCATCATCATCATCATCATCATCATCACCATCATCCTCCTCCTCATCATCATCATCATTATCATTTTCTTTGTCATCACCACCATTGTAATTACTATTCTTATAATCATTATCATAATTTTAATCATTAGCATCATCATCATCACCATCATTTTCATCAACATCAGTTTCATCAATAATATCATGTAAATCGATAAATGTCTTGCCAAAAGACATAAATGTACAAAAATGAAACAGATGGGCAAATAAGAGGTAAAAAACACATTTTAATTCCATAGAAGTTGCGGAGAGTTGCTATATGCTAACCTTCTTTTATCCCACCAGACCGCCTCGCATTCTCTCCTCTGTACGGCGGCCATGATGACATTCACGTCATAGTTACCCAATCCCAGCATGCTCTTGTGTGGGTTCAGTACCGAGCCGGGCGATAAGCTGTCATCAAGGAAACAATATTTAATCAGTCTTCAGTGTCTAGACTACTCAGTTACTGACTGTAACCAAAACCAGGCATGACTCATAACAGAAAAATGACAGACCCTCCACACAAACACAGCATGTACTGTTCTAAAATAAGTTGTGTGTTTGTATGTCATGACAACTTGACGTGGTGAGGCCATAATTATGAACAGTACTGTTGACCTGGCTTCTCTTATAAAATTCATATGACAAAACACAAATAACAATGATTTGAAAACATACAATATGTTGATGATTTATTGGAAATAATGCACAGTAAAAAGCCTTTTTTTTTGCAAGCTCTGTGAACAGTGCATACTGAACCTGGCAAACAGATTATTAAAGGCAACACTTCATGAGAAAAGTTAATTTCAAATAATCTATTTTCTATTTGGTAATACATGTATATAATGTAGAGAAAAGGAAATTTTATAAATTAAAGCATGAGTATTAAAGCATAATTCATACATAGCAGATTTGGATAAAGTGAGAAAATGCACGTGTTTAATATGAGAAATCAACATCATCATGTACATGTACATGAACATCAGTATCGATTACATCACATGCACTCTCAATTACATGTATGTAAATTTAATGATCTAAAACGCACATTGTTATTAATACAGGTATTATTTTTCAAAAAAGAAGAAATACAGCATATAGTGAAAACAATACCAGTACATATACTTTCTTTTTATATTGAAATATACAATTTCACACAAGAATAAATTAACAGTACCTTGACTAGAGGAATATATAAATATGTCCTCCTTTGACATGAAAGACAACTACAGACAACTAGAAAAAAAATGTGTCCCTAATCATCATATTATCTGACATACCTTTGGCATAGTTCATCCATGGATTGTTTATTGAAAGCTTTCCCATCCTGGAACACGTTATTGAGTGCATGAAGAGCGCACAGCTCCCAGCGCTGCTTCTCATGGTAGATCGGCATCACGCCTTCTTGACAGGTCAAAGGTCAGGTGGTCAGCTGAAAATGTAATCAACAAGATCCATGGTCATAGAAGTACAATGTAACAATTGCCAAACAAGTATATCAAAAGTAGCTTATGCATTTAAACGATAAACAAATATTATTACACAAATGAACGTACATACATGTATGTACATGTACACGTATATGTATACATTTGATGGACGGGGGGAGGGGGGTGAAGTAAGGTGAATGGTTAAGGTCTAGAAAGCTCGAGAAAAAGAGAGAGAGAGAAAGAGAGAGAGAGAGAGAGAGAGAAAGAGAGAGAGAGAGAAAGAGAGAGGAACTACGGTAAACCCAAATATGAAGATTGCAAGAGGGAAGCCTCACTGTATGTGACCCAAAAGTAACATTTACACTGCGATTCAGCAAATAAATAGTCATCCATTTTTTGTATTATAGACTTAAATAGTAGCGGTATAATAGAAAGGCCTTTGGTGAGCAGATTCAGTCAAGTTAGAGTCAATGTAATTGATGCCTTCTTTACTGTATTTCCTGGTTGCTTCTCACATGTCCTTTCTTCAGGATTCAGGTACCAGTAACATAATGCTTGGAACAAGCTCCAATTGCCCAGTACACATACCAGAAGAGTGAGTTTGAATTAAATGCAATCAAATTCACTATGAAACCATTCAAAATCGTACTTGATGTGATCCATAATGTTATCTATTAGAGCCAAACACCACATTTTAATACAGGCTGCAGTCCAAACTTCTTTCACCTCAAATCACCAAGATTTTTTTTTGTCCCAGTACATGTAGACATGTACATGAATGTACATTTCCAAGTTTAGCTCAAAATACAACTGGAATACATTTAACTGTAAATATACTTACATCTGTGGCTGGTTGAAGAGTCTACATGTGCAAATTCAGCAAAGTGACATCTGTGATGTACATACTGGTTCAAGGCCTGCCTGTGCTCAAGTCGATCATCTGCAGAGCGGTTGATCCTGCTATGATTCACTGTTCATGATGGATAGATATCAAAAGACCTGCATAATCCCCTGAACTAATCCTTGGAGATTAGCTAATCAGCTAATGGACTTGAGCTCCCAGTAAAGTGCAATATTAGTGCAACACTGATGTGTGACCTGCTGATAAGGGTATCTGTCTGAGAGAGCAATATTAAAAGATATTAAATGGGAATTTATGATCAGAAAAAACGAGGAACACAACAGGAGGTACAGTAAATTTATGATTGGACATTTTGTTGATGTAATAAGCGCTATATAAAAGCTGAATATTATTATTATATGTGTAAATTGGCATGTAGGACCTACAGTTTTGTCACGTTTGGGCTTTGCCTTCAACTAATATTGAAGCTTTAAAGGGACAGTCTAACATGAAATTTACAAGTTTTCAAAAAAGAGTATGAAAACAAGAAAAGAGAATGACAACATTTTATTTTTAAATATTGAAGTATACATGTGTACATGTAGACGTGATGACGTTGTGCAGTTAGATTTATACACACGTGGCAACTCCATTTGTTAATCAGTTGCCAACTTTTCTCCATTTGTTTAGTACAACAATTTTCATAGATATATTTCCATTTCCTCCAAAGAAAAGGGTTTCTCAAAACTGTTGTTTAAAAACAGGAAATCTGTAATGGTGGTTTAGTTCAGAGTACATGCAAGTTCCCATCAAGCTCAATGAAACTGAAATACATCTTTAAAGATAAACTTGAGTTCTGGTAAAAAAAAGAAAATGAATTCTCACAGAATCTAACAAAACTTACACTGAATGTTCAAGATTACAAATAAATGTCATGTGCCAAACAGTTTTGGAAGAAAATGTATACTGGCTGAGTAATGAGCATAGAAAGATAAGGAAATCAGGGTAGTACTAGCCCCGACACCATGTGTGTTGTCCCATGTACATCTTTCTGTGTAAGTGATTGTTACTTTTCCAAGACTCTGCCAAAATTTATGATGATTTTGATGACTCCAGAACCTTGCATTACACACCATTTCTTACATGCTATATGATCAACTTTTCTGATCCATTCCATACCTTTTCTTTCACAATGCAATCGCATTACCAGTACTCAAGTTTATCTTTAACCTGTCGGAGGTACATGTGAATGTAAGTGACATAAGAAAGTTAGGATAAAAGACCTTTTCTGAATATACAATTCTCTAACAAAATCTGACAATGTAATTAAATTAGATTTGCAACTTGCATTATGTACAGTTGTACATACAATGTCTGACAAAGTATTATTTTTTAATTTTATTTCATTTATTTATTTTATAATATTGGATGATACTCTAATGCACAAACATTGTATGTACCATAATACAACCAATAGAATTTAGAAGTACACACAGTACATATAAGTTCTACACCACACTTGATCAATACGTGTGAATTCGATTTAAGTGTACCAAAACACTCTGAATCAAGAAAGACAAAAGATGCTTTAATTCTCTCCAATTTGCAATAATCATGAGAGAAAATAACACAAGATTTTTGTAGTAATCCCAAGCAAAGTGCACTTGAACAGTACTAATTTGGGTATACTACAGCAATGTGGATGTTGGGTATATGTACATGTACATGTTCATGTAGGTAGGTTTATGTACATGTTAGGTTTAGATGTGATGTCATATATTTACATTGAAAAGTATCAAAGACAACAACTGAACAACATTCATTTTCTTGTCTCTGACAAGAACATTGTGATTTACATGTACACTGTACCACATTTATACATGCACAAAGACCATTACACTTTTTTTAAATATTCATTACTCTTTTTAGATACAGTACAGTAGCTAGAGGAATACAAAATCTGGACATTTGACCGTACAAACGATAAGTTAAATAACAGAGTGATCTAATAATCATTATTCATAATAAATCTGGACTTATATCACTTAATACAGAATATCACCTCTGAGTACTTTACAAGAATTATTATCATCTCAGTCATTGGATTCATCTACACACACACACATTGTGCACCATCTCCACTGGTTAGGGAGTATACCTGCCATATGGTAACAATATGGCAGTTACTGTCATACAGGCCCAATTCTACTGGGTCCCCATAGAGGTGTTGTGGTCTAGTAGATAAGTCGTTGGACTGTGGATCACAGGGTCCAGGGTTCGAGTCTCTCCTCGGCAATAATGTCCTTTGGCAAGATATTTATCTACATTTGCCACTCTCCACCCAGGTGTTAAATGGGTACCGGTAGCAAAGAATTCTGTGAATGCTGTGAGCGCCAAATTCGGCTGCCTAGCAGAGCCGGGGTAATAGTTGGTGCGCTATATACATGTAAATATCCGATATTATAATTATTATTATTTCTCTCCTGGGTATAAAGAAGGAAATGCGTCAAGGATTGAACCCATGACCTTTGCAAGTTTGGTAGTGTAATATGTTTAAAGTGACTCAGTAACATTTTTCAGATTCTGAAACAAAATCCTGGATTTAGCTCGTGCTGCAATGAAAATTATAAACCTTTAGGTCAGTCAGGAACCCTATGACTTTTACAAGCCGATCGCCTGTTCGATTATCTAGATATTTGTGATTGGAAATTGAAAACAAATCGTCTGTTTTCCTAACTGTTTTTTATAACCCTACAGTCTATTGGGGAAAATGAGTATGGTAAAACCAGTCACTCAAAGATTTTTACTTTTTTGAGACACTTCATGATCCTTTTGAAGCGCAATTTTCATTGTAGGGCTTCAATATTACACCATATCACAGACGCTGATAACATGTAGGGCCATGCATCTCAGATTTAACATTTTTAAACGATGCCTTTAACCTTACTACCATTTTTTTAATCTACATGTAAGTGCTCAAACCACTTTACTCTATTCTATAAGACTGCTTACAGAAAACGAAATAAAGGTTTGATGCTTATCGCGATTTTTAGGTAAGGTTCCCACTCTCCTTATCTGGAAAATAGAATGAGCAGATCGTGTATGATAATGATGATGAATGGTGGTGGTTATTTTACCTGACTGCTAAGAAAGCAAAAATGCTTGTAAGTAAGCAACCAGACGGCCGACGGCTTTAGGTCCTCTCCGAGGGACCTGGTAATGAGGATTAATGCCTTACCAAAGGGCACTAGCACATCGTCTTGGTTTTGAACCCGGGTCACCGGATTACGAGACCACTGCTCTACCGACTGAGTTATCGGGCCTACATGTATGAAGAGATTTTCAAATGTTACTCCTCTGCAAGTGACAAATGATTTGAATTAATATTTTACTAGTTTTTGTATACAGTCATCACACTTATGTTTATCAACATACACTGTACATGTACTTGGGTCCCCTGGCTCACAGAAAAAGAAAAAAAAATTATCAAAATAGACAGCTCTTCTTCTTCTACTGTTCAACTTCAAAAAGCTATGCAGCCTATCACAAAAAATCTGTATGTATGTAGATAACCAGGTGTGTGTATGCAGGCACACTAAACACTTGGGTCTATTCCTAGCAGTAGTAGTAGAAGCAGTAGTATTAGAAGTAGTAGAATTAAGTTGTAGCAGCAGTAGTAGTAGTAGTAGTAGTAGTTATAGTAGGCCTAACCTCCCATCACTTTGTATTGGTTAGTGAGGGAAGGTTAAAAAATACAGTTTGCTAGTTATTGTCTTTTACAAACTACAATGGTTTTAGATGTTATTTTTATAGTAATTAGTATATGAAAATCATATTTATTTTCTTCCAAATCATAATTTTTTTGAAAAAAATCAAATTGTTACTGAGGGCGAACTTTTGGCCAGAGTTGACAGAAATCAGCTACATGTAGTGATTCTCCCGTTGTGCAAGCAGCAAGAGTTACCATCCCTGTATAGGGAAGGTCGATAATGAATGGTTTATTAAAAAATTCCCATACCATACCAGACAGTCATTTTTGCCTACATGTAGATGGCTATGTCTTCTTCTTCTTCTTCTTCAAGATAATCTGCCTCCTTCAATACTGAAGATTCTTGCAGATGCCGTATACTCGGCCTGATTGGGGTGTGCAGGTGGACCATTACACCAGGGTTTCCCCCTACTCTTATACGAATAGTGCACTAGGTTCGTAACGTGCAAGGGTGGTGACTCTCCTGTACACGGGGCCTCCATTTAACGTCCTATCCGAGGGACGGAGTGTTTTCCACTTGACATAACCTGCGTCTATGTAAATGTAGACTCGACACTCAGGCCTTATATTTCAATATTTTTAGGGCAAGGCCACTTTTCTGTAGGGCACATTCCTATATTGCAGAACAAATAGGAAGAATTGGAAAGGGCACAAAAAATCTCCAAGGCCATTGAGGCCAATCAAAGGGGCATCCACGGCCATGGCCTTGGTGGCCTTGGATTAATTCAAGCCCTGCGACACTGTACATGTAACTCTGTAGTGTAAATCAGGGAATAATTTTCCTGGTATCGCATCGCGATTTGCTATGCATTTTTGCATGACTGCTATACAAAATATCTTTTGTGTAGCAGTTTTCTTCCATAGAAATGTACAGAATTTCATTTGAAATATTTATCCATCGGCTGAAATTGCTAATCAAAAAATTTGAGGAAAATTATTCCCTGTAAATAGTGCAGAGAATGTCAATGAATGCGGACCGCCCTGGTTTTTCGAGCAAGCACTAGCGTGTCATAATAATTCTACTAGTAAGTACACAATACACCCTGGTTCGAATTTATAAGTGAATCCAAAGACTATGTTTTCCACAGACAAATGACAGACATGCGAGCGCTAGCTCAAAACCAGTAGGGGGCGCTGGTCCGAGAATAAGGATCGTCCGCATCAACGAGGATCATCTTCGTAAACGCGGACAGACGCATCCTAAAAAATAAGGATCGTCTGCCTTTTTCTGATCTGCGTGTTGGCAATGCGAAAATTAGATTCCGCAATGATGATGCTTGATGCATTTCACATTCACTTTGCACAGAGACTTTCACGTTAAGAATGATAAATCCTCGGGAAGACGGACAACCTCTAAGTCTAATGGTAAACGGTGAACTGGGGTTATTTTATTACGCGGAATTCGGGAATGCTACACCCGCAGAGTGCAAAGAAAAAACGTCTGCATTTGCGGACGATCCTTATTCTTGACCAGCATGCCCCTATTAAAATTGACCAGTTACTTCCCGACAGTGACACTGGGCAATTTCTGTTTGACAAAAATAAATCACAAATTAATTAGACTTTACTTAATATTACCTATATCAACACAGTACAAACTCCATATATGGCTTTCCATGACAAAATGTTGATGAATGAAATTAATGAATCACACAGTGACATGACATTTACACATTCTATAGGCCTAAGTTAGGCTTACAGAAAATCAATTGGATATGAACACAACAACAACTGAACAAGCATCTCACACGATCACAGCACAGACAGTAGAGCACTCCAAAAAACTGCGTTAATGACTAGGTAGTTGGTACACCCGTTCCTAAAATCATAAGAAACAATTTACACAATGTAATAAATACATAAGAAAATAGAAAGTGATGGAGCAACTCACGTTTCCGTAGAAAACATTCACAATTTGGCCACAGGAACGAGATATTTTCTGCATTGATATTATTTTGCCCGAGAAACTGAAATAATGTACTCACTGCCAACGCAGAGGGCGTTTGCATTTTGTAGATTCAAAGAGATTCGATCATACACAGATTGGCGAAAAGATCGTGCATACCTGCAATATTATTGTTTTCGTGATTATGTGCTGATTGGGGGAAGGGGGAGGGGCGGGGGGGGGGGGGGAGATACTTGGTAGCCCCCTGCCTCATACGCATGTGGCTTTCAGACGATCCCGGATCCACTCCTGGATCGTAAAAGGTGAATGTGGAATGGATGGCAGAGAGTGAACTGAAAATTAACCTCAAAGTTGTTGAAGCCTACAAAGTGTAATAAGAAAATTCATCCACATTATCTTTTCTTTTCTAATCAATTTTAGGAATATTTCCCTCGTCTGCAATTGCTTCCCATATGGACCTACACACATCATGTATCCTAACGTTAATTTCTCTTTATGTTTATTCATGAATTTATTTATGTATTCATGCATTTGATTTATACATTTTTTTTATCCTTTATTTATTTATTTATCAATATATTTATTAATAAATGTATTCGTTCATTTATTTATTTATTTATTATTCTATTTAAAACCCTTTCTACATTACAGCATAAAATAAGATGATCATATCTTTGATAATTATGCTCTCTGACGAAGGCAACCTGGACGACGACGGCGGCATCTATTAGAAAGCAGGATTGCCTCTTAAAGGTAAAGACCAGTTATGGTCGTGCGATTGCATTGTGAAAGAAACGTTGTGGAATCGATCAGAAAAGGTTGATCATCTAGCATCTAGCATCTGCAAGGTTCTGGAATCATCAAAATGATAAGAAATTTGGCCCATACTTCGTAAAGTTACAAGCACTATACACAGAAAGATGTATATGGGACTACCCTATATCTCTCACAGACCATGAGAGAAACAAATTTACAATATATATGAATTAGTAGGCGGTTTCCCGGCAAATTTTTTATCATCATGTATTAGTCAAAACATATTCTTTCACAGTCATGATAGGTAATGAGAGCTTCCATTTCATTTTTTGAAACTGGGGCGTTTCCAATACTGGTCTTTACCTTTAACAAACTGCTACCCCTGAGGGCCCTGCTCAATAAAAACAACGTACATGGAAACGTATATTTACCCCGATATTTACAGACCTAAGTACAAATTGAACACATTAATAACATAAGAAACGAAGGTTATGAAAACCACTACTACTAAAGGTACCAGGCACTGCTGTTACTACTACTACTACTACTACTACTACTACTACTACTACTACTACTACTACTACTTCTACTACTACTACTACTACTACTACTACTACTACTACTACTACTACTACTACTACTACTACTACTACTACTACTACCACTACTACCACTACTACTACTACTACTACTACTACTACTACTACTACTACTACTAGTACTACTACTACTACTACTACTACTACTACTACTACTACTTCTACTACTACTACCACTACTACTACTACCTTTACTACTACTACTACTACTACTACTACCACTACTACTACTACTACTACTACTACTACTACTACTACTACTACTTCTACTACTACTACCACTACTACTACTACCTTTACTACTACTACCTTTACTACTACTACTTCTACTACTACTACCACTACTACTACTACCTTTACTACTACTACTACTACTACTACTACCACTACTACTACTACTACTACTACCACTACTACTACTATACTACATCTACTACTTCTTCTTCTTCTCATTCTACTTCTACTGTATACTATAGGGATATAAACCCGATATGTATTGTTCCTGTAATACACAACTGGTAATCTATCAATTGGTAATAAGCTACGTAGGCCTTTCAAGATAACAAGTTGAAGAAGAAGAAGAAAAGGAATTTCTGTTTCACTTCTACATACTTTTCTTTCTGCCTTTCTTTCTCCATGTTATTACTCTTCCTAATTGCATATCGTTATATCAATATGCAACTGCATAGTCGGGTGACTTTTTGTTCATTTTAAACAGGTGAAATATTTGTCACCACCATACTTGCAACAATTATGATTTTAATTAATAAGGAATCAGAATTAAGACTTTAACAATAAGTTCTTTTATGAGTTTCCATCGTTGCTGTATTTTCTGTATTATTTCTTTATTACACAGTATACATTCCACCTTCAGACCTATATCACCGTTTTGGGAGACGCTTACACTGATTTGATTTAATAATTCATTCCGATTTGGTTCGTAAGCTTTTGTAACCATGGTGTCTGTTTTCACAAATCATGATCGAAAATAATGGAAAAACCGAAATGGACTATACATCTTTTTTCATGGAAACGTTGAAAGGAAACCTAATTTCGGCTCATATAGCAGGAATAGAACACCCACACATTAAATTTTTCATTTGATAATATTCTACAGTTCATTTAATACAGTACAAAGATACGATAATCTAGACCTAGCTTGCAGACGAATGGTCAATGTATACAAAATATAGGTATAACGAGGGTACAGTAAAGGCTTTTTTTCCCTCCAAAAATTATTTCAATGCGACCGCGTATTATGATAGTCTGTTGATTTTCCGTTCAATTAAAACAGGTGTAATTCTTCCTAATCGTTGACTTTTGCCGCCATTCTGACGTCAAATTATATCGGTTAATGAATCAGAACTAAATTTTTAAACAAATGAAAATATTTCCAGGTCACAAAGTTTTATTTTTCTCCTGGTCATGCTGCGTTGTAGCTATGTTCGAGTGCTATTCGGTGGTATATTTCTCACTACCTCTGATAATTTGCACAAGTTTAAACTCTTTATTTAGATAAAATCAATAATATAGAAAATAATATTCATGGCATATTATTGATGATTCTCTCGATGTGCTAATATTGTATACAACAAATTTCAAAGAAGAGTCTTTATACAAATTTAAAAAAGAGGAAAAAGCAACATCAACAACAGAAAGGATAACAAAGTTTATGTTCTAATCTATCATGCTATACCAATGCTGGATATAAAGCCAAGACCGTTTTAAAAAAGCAATGAAAATTATGAATAAAAGTGGACTTGGTGAAACCACAAACATTTTTTTAAGCGATTCATTATTTGGTAGCTTCATTATTCAACCAATGGTTGTACCCATGTCACGCCACAGGCTTACCATTGAATCTTGATGTAAACATTTCTATTCCGTATAATTTCATGTATTTATACATGTATGTAACAAAATGAAGAGGTCCACATGCACTTTGCGCCGGATCCGCCCAGATCATGAACTAACACTGTCTTACTCTTCTCCTTCATTATAATAAACCGTATAGTTCATAGTTATACGTTCAGTTTTGTCTTCAGTTGGGTAGGGTAAGAAATACAAACGGAATATTAGAGGTGTTATAATGTACGTGATTATAGATAATGATTTCTTGAGATAAAATATAATATGTTGAAAGGTTTCGTTAAGGAGCTTCTTTGACGTGGCTACAAGAATGGCTCAGTGGTAGAGCAGAGGTCTCCTTACCGGGAAATCCTGGGTTCGAAATCGTAATTACCAAGTCCATCGGAGAGGACTTGTTTGTTTGTTTGTTTTTATTTCTGCATTTTTCAAAATAGAACATAATCATATACATAAAGTAACAAATATTTCTTCATTTTACATAATTATAAATTTTTAAGTACATTAAAAAAGATGCATACAAACACAAATATAATTTCAATGAAAAAAGATAAATTACAGAAAACGCAGGAGACCGCCATCATGATATCATTAATGTCAAGAAAGCAGTATTGGTCCCCTGGTTGTTTACTTACAAGCTTATTCATGCTTTCTTAGCAGTCAGGTAAAACAATAATCATCAAAATATCATAATTTCCAGCAAGTGAAAGAAAATAAAAAACTTTGATTATGTAGATCTTTTCTTGACATTAATAATAATAATATAAGTTATTGTTCCAAACTTTTTTCCAACATGAGAGAGAGAGACAGAGAGAGAGAGAGAGAGAGAGAGAGAGGGAGAGAGAGAGAGAGGGGATGTTGTCTCACACCCTTTTCCCCATCTCCTTGCCCTGGGCAACATCAATACGATAATTGCTGATGCGATAGAGACCCCGGAACAGAAAGGAGACAATACAAGATTTAATCTTTTAATCAACCTTGCTCCGATATCCCGAACGCCAAAACGGACAATAATCTAACTTCGTTATTACCCTAGTTATGGGAATAGTATACAATATTCCCAGTGGAAAACCCATTACCACACCGTCTAAAACACAATAGAGATTAATTGTCAACGATGCTTATAGTCTGTAGATGATGGAGTGTCTTTTTATGCGCGGAGGATGGCAGAAGATCGCATTAATAATCAACCAGTCGTGCCATTTTGATGCACAGCCACACCATGCATAACCACAAACTGTAAAGCAACAAATAGAGTTGCCATGCCAGCGAGAAACGCGTTGATGCACTTTAATTTTCGTTACCATGCAGATAGACACTGCGTATTGTCTGTATGTACAAAGAATAAATTTTACTTTATAGTGTGTAGGGAAACTCATTAACTTTAACTGCAACATATATCTATGTTTTAAGAAAACAGTTCTATTGACGACATACTCCTAGATATCAATACACTCAGATGCCATTGGCAAAATTGAAAGAACAGTTTGCACAGAAAATGACACATGGTGTTGCAATATTGTGGGCCTACATGCTGCGAGAGCAATTATGAAGAGTATTATAAAGTTGTTAATTTACGTCATAATATTTGATTCTTTTGATAAATGAAATGATCCTTATTTCGATTATCAGAATGTTTTCACATTGCTAGTGAAAATATCGCTCGCATCACAAATATGGTTCAGAAGCATTTTAAAACTCTTCCCATTTCTGAAGTAAAACCTTCATAGGTTGCATGAAAACAAGAATCAATTATGTTATGATATCATAATGAAATAAACATGAAACACACGATGGGTATTATAGATAGATAGATAGATGGATAGATAGATAAATGATATTTTATTGCATCTTTCATGAATGGCAGTTTCACAACTGAATTGCACATGAATTACACGAATTGGATATATACATTGTAAAAAACCTACATAACATTTAGTTAAAAATTGTTTAAACGTGTCACTTTACTTCTGCCTAAATACCATAAACAATTAAAAAAACACTTAATGAACATAATTTCTACCAAATAAAAAAGACAAAAGGTATAAACATAATTACATGCCAACATAATATGGACTAAGGTAAATTATACAACAGTTCGTCATGTTACAATATTGCAGTTGTGGGTATAGTGGTAAAATAATCAAGGATAGCGGCAAGAGCAGGGGTTTATGAACATTTAGTAATATTTGAAATAATTATTCAAAATTAGAAGTAAAATGAAATTCAATATCATTAAAACATACCGGTACGATATACAAAATCATTACAAGAATGTACAGAAATCGAGACATTTCAATGATAAATCATTACAATAGATATAAACATGAGCAAATTAACTATTATTATACAGGCGAATCAAATTTGGAATAGGACTATTTTGCATGCGACTGGTTTTACATTTAAAATCTGGAATTTCTTTGAATTTCTAAGTGTTCTAGTTCAATGTTTTTGTGGGAGAAATTGGGAGAAGTTTTTTGAAAGAAAGTACACATAAATATTGGCGTCTTTCATCTAATCTTTGTAATTGAGATTGTGCAAGTGAAATTGTATATAGTTATCATAATCCCTACGAAAAATTATCGGCAACGCTCTTTTTTGTATTCTCTCCAATCTCTCGTTTTGGTTTTGCGTGAGTCCTCCACTCCAAACAGGACTGGCATATTCAAGTAAAGGGCGAATATAACCCACAAAAACAGTAATAAGGTCTTCCTTTGGAAGACCATATTTCACCAGAGAACGTAGCATGTATAGTTTGGCGCTTGCCCTTTTTTCGATGTCTTTTATGTGAGCATCCCACTTTAAATTATTCTGTATATTAATTCCTAGCAGTTTAACTTCACTCACTGTCTCCAATAAACCATTCTCTAAAATTATACTAGTTTGATTAACGGGTGCCCTGGAGAAACAGATATCCATTTTTAAACATTTTATAGGATTTAATTTCATGTCATTAACATTAGCCCAGACAGATAGATTGTCAGCAGCTTCCTGCATTTGAGAATCTTGGACTAGTTTGCGACACTCGATCATTGTAAGGTCATCAACATATTTAAAAATGTGAATGTTATTATCTATTTGAAAGTCATTAATCATAACTAAGAAAATTAAAGGACCCAGTTACGTGCTCTGACGGACACCAGCATTAATAGTACATGAATCAGACAAAACACCATGGTAACAAACTCATTGTGTACGACAAGAAAGGAAGTCACATATCCAAGTTATTGCTGGGGATCGGACCCCTACTAGATGTAACTTGCTTATAGCGACAGTGTGGTCAATGCGATCAAAATCTTTCTTAAAATCAGTTAAAAGAATTGTTGACGACGTTTTTAGAGATTTCGGCATTTAAATACAAATGGTGAAGAATATTAATTAAACAATGAGATGTTGATAAACATTTTCTATTACCAAATTGAAACGGGTCGATTTGTTGTCCAATGTCCTGTGATATCCATTTTGCCATGAAACCTTCAATAATTTTAGCAAAATGATCGGTCAAAGATATCGGCCTTAATTTACCATTACTCGGTGGACTTGTTTTGGGGATTGGAACAACAATTGCATGTTTCCAAACATCAGGAACCTTCCCACAATTAAAGGAGGTGTTGATTAAAGGTCATAAGTATATTAAACTATGAGGCGTCAGCAATTTTCCTTCAAATATGAATTGTGCTGGTAGCCAAGTTCATTACTATGTTTCCCACTCTCTTTCTGCAAATACAATTTCACATTCAAACTAAAGATTGTGTGAATGCCAAATCAGTACATTCATGGAATATAAACGATTAATAAAGTATAGAGGCGTAGCTAGGGGGCACTTGCCCAATTGAATGGCTAAACACGGGAAAATAAGGGAAGAAGGGAAGACTGGCAAAGAACGGGAGAGGAGGTATGCCACGTGGAAATGATTAGAACCTGTCCAAAATCCACACCCTTCCCTCTTTTGATCGCCCTCTTTATGGTATTTAAGTCAATCCAGGTTAGTTACATACCCCCTCCCAGATATCAGTGCCCCCTCAATGGCTAGCCCTTTTTACTACACCATTGACTTATACGGTACATATAGTAATAATCAGTAAGATGGACTTGTTTTTTTGAATTATAATATAATCGTGTAAATGATACATTTTACGGTTTAAGGACGACTGCCCATGGTCTCCATCAGCCCCACACACATGAAATACAATAACCTCGGACAACTACCCCCCCCCCCGAAAATCTCCCCTATGATATCTACAAGTTTACCCGGCCCGGACATAATTTCGCTTCCAAAACTATATAATTGGATTAAAGTGCATATAATACGCACAGGCAGTGTTACCCCCCTTTCAGAGACGTTTGAGACCTGTGTTTATCCCCACCCATTCCATTAGAAATGTTCTAGCGCCGCTGAGGTGATGAGCCTAATATGGCGTTTACGTGTTTTTGAACTTTTTTTAACTTTATGAACATTGAAATAATATCATATGCTGGAAAGGAGACTGTGCAGAAGATGAAGCAACCCCCCCCCCCCCCTCCACGTGGAAAAACAAAACAACCGACACCAAGTTCGACACGCTTTTGTGTGCAAAAAAAAAAATCAAAAATCTATTTTATGTAATTTTTACATTATTTTGCACTAATTTAGATTTTTGTTATTCTTTGTTGAAACTGAAATGAAAATGATCCTCTTTGGTTGGATTATGATCAATCATTTGTCAAAACTTGAATTTGAACTTACAACAATGCACTCACTTATCATGACGTTTTGCAACTTGTAATTGTCTATTGTTGATATCCCAAACATGAATACTCCAAGGTGACATCGTGTTTCAGGTATAATACGGTAATCACCCTGATTAAATCGTCACTTTCATTGACTATTGTAATTTCATTACAACCTATCTAATTCTATTCTCTCCTGTTCGATCATAATTAATCATGTTCCTCATAATTCCTGTCTGTTCTAGTCTGCTTTTTTAGTATTCATCGTTTTTTTGTTTTTTTCTTGGGGGGGGGGGGGGTGGAAAATCTTTTTCTATATTCTGGTCTAGTTAGATGATCAAATTTTATTCTGTGCTATTTAACTATGGCTCTACTTTATCTTATTTCGTATATTTTGTTATAATCATAGTTTCTCCTCTAGCTTTAAGGTTTTAGTTTTCAATTCTATTTTGTTTTCTGTTATCATCTTAGGTCACAAGAATTCCTTGTTCAACGTGAATTCATATTAATATAAAATCTTATCACAATCTATTCTTTTCTGTTCTGCACTATTCTATAGCTTATTAATTTCCCTTTTTTGTTTCCAATCGTTAAACTCTTCTTCTAATTCTACTAACAATCGGATATCTGCATTGCCCCTAGGTTAATTCGAAAATATAGTCTGATCGCGCAGACTAATACTTGTTAGGAATGGTCCAATGGCTGTCTGTGTCGTCTGCTTGCTCCGTCGACTTTCATTTTCATTAAACAAATTGCGTGCATGCATCAGCTCCCGATCTTCTGAACTTACAATTTTCAATTTATTCTTCAGTTTTCTGATGCCAGGAGTGTCGGTGGTAAACTGTCTTTCAGTTTTATCTGAATATTCTACTCATCTGTACTAATAACCTACCTGTGGTATAGGATCCCGCAGGTCTGGAGGAGTTCAATTCAAGAAGGAGAAATAGAAGAAGAAGAAGAAGACGAAGTTCGAAGGATTTTACTTCCATTCTCGCTTTTGATTGAAGAATATAGGTTTGCTTCTTTGTTTTCCGAGATAAAGATTTAATATTGAACCATCTTCTCATGAGCATGTAACGCGTTGAATAAGGCCTCGAAGGCCCGCTCGGAGGCTAACATTCAACAAGTCTTATGACGTGGTTGATTCTTACCCGACTCGGAAATAAAAACTTCTCCATAAGTTATCAACCTTTCAACAAAATTACAACGATATTGACAGTTGCATTGTCATTAACTGTAAACGACAAGTGGAATTGAATCGTAACTCATTAGCCGAATGTAATTTGAAGCATTGGTATTAATTTATGTTTCTCCCTTTCATCGAACTCATTTGCATTGGAAAATGAAGAGAGATCATAATTATGCTTAATTAGCTTTACGAGAAAGACAATTTCTGGTTTGCGTTTATCGTCTGTGGATTGAGAAATGGCGCGAACACTGAGCGGGATGCCAGCCTGGATGCCGGGTATTTCTCGGGCGCGTAACTCCACTCACGCCGTCAATGCACCACTGATGGAGTTGCTGGTGTTGCTGATGATGTTGTGCCTATGTGGCTGCCACATGCCTGGAGCAGAGATGGGGAAACCTTGCCGTCATATTCCTTACGATGAAGCCAATGGTAAGTCAGGTTGATGCGATCCGACATAATTGTGCTCCAGCCACATTTTTCACCGGGCTATACAATTTCGCGAAGATATAAGGTTAGGGGTAAAAGTTATTCCGTTGGGTTTTAGATTACGTTTAAGGTTAAGTTTAGGATTATATGTTAAGGGTTTGGTATAGTTTTTTTTCCAACTGAATTCAACTAGTGTATAGGAAATGAACCGCGGATTAATTGTCGCTAGAGCACACGCCCGTTCAGCTCCTTGTATTATTATGTCATTTTTCAAAGATATAGGGTTAGACTGTAGGATGGGGTTAAGATTGCGTTTTAGGTAGCATTGGGATTACGATTGGGTAAAGTTTTGGATTTAGGGTTAGAGTTAAGACCTCGATTAGTGTAGGAAATAGACCGCGGATCATTTTGTCGTACAGCACACGATTAAGCCCCCATCATACCAAACTAGTTCTCACTACGTTCTTTAAAATGTTGCCAAACGGGATCTAACTGTGTGCGAACGGACTTGAACGTAGTAGCAACTGTTTACGATCTGTTTTAGAACTTCATGGACGGGCTCGGACTAGGTAGAGTGCTCTAGAACTTTGAGCCTCTTCAAAAATGTCCCCGTCCTGCAATTAGACGGAGTGACAATGTACTGAAAACAAGGAGGACGTACTACAAACGTAATGATTTTCGTACTTCAGTCCTATAGGAACGCATTACAACGTGACGTGGTCGAGCATCAATTATTAGTAGTCACTATGAACATGACGGACAAAGAAAGCGGACAAAATATACAGTTCCTCAGGTAGACAAAGAAACATCCCTGCTATTATGTAAACATGTGTAGAACAGGTGTAACATGCATATTCACCTGTTTTTACTCATGTTTACATAATAGCAGTGAAGGGATGTTCCTTTGTCTACCTGAGAAACTGTATATTTTGTCCGCTTTCTTTGTCCGTCATATTCATAGTGAGTATTATTAAACGGAAATGAGATATGGCAAGAACGCTCAGGTTTATATTACTGACCACAACCCGTTTTAAGATTTTTTAGGACTGTTCCAGAACGTAGTGAGAACTAGTTTGGTGGGATGAGGGCTTTACAGAGCAGAGCATTACAGTCATCGATATCAGATATTAATTTAAAAGCTAATCTTGAGCTCTGGTATGGGTATTGCATATCAAAAGAACATGGCTATAATTCATTACGGATTGTTTACCATGCAATATAGGTTGATTGTTAAAACCATTAAAATAAAATAAAAATCTCACAAAAACCTGTTGGAAAACATCTTCAATAAAAATCACAACTCTTATTTGCACATAGGGACATAATTATGCTAAGCACAAGTCATGGTGTCGGGCCTACTTTAATACTCAGATTTCCTAATCTTTCTATATGCTCATTACTCAGCCACTTTACATTTTCTACCAAATCAAATCCGTTTGGCACATGTCTTTAGTAATCTTGAATATTCAGTGTAAGTTTTGTTGGATTCTGTGAGAATTTATTTTCTATCATTACCAGAACTCAAGCTTATCTTTAAACTTTATGTACATTTAATGCTAAATCGTCTCATCTTGTCTTTGCATTTATTTCACGCAAAATTAATTGTCTATGGCTGAAGTGTATTTTTTACTGACGACTTTGCTTTTTTTTCAATTATAATTTTCCTTGTAAAAAATCACGTATATGACGTACGATAGCTTCTAATATTTATGGACATAGGCCAATACCTTATTCAATACGGCACTTTGCTAAATTACATTGATGGATGTAAATTTAAGCCTTTAACTCCTAGCCATTTTGGGTCGGGTTCATCGTGTGTAAAACGCTCATGTATCATTCTTCATGAATGAAAACATCGGATCATTTTGTCATAAAACACATGTTTACAGAGCAGAGAATTACAGTCATCGATAACAGATATTTTTTTTGTACACTTACTGCTAAATCCTTTCATCTTGGTTTTGCATGTATTTAACTCAAAATCAGTTGTTTGTGGATGAAGCGTATTTAGGACTAACGACGAGTTTGTTTTTTTCAATTATAATTCTAATTTTCCTTGTATAAAAATAACATAAAATTATGACGTACGATATTTATGGACACCTTATTCAATACGGCACTTTGCTAAATTACATTGATAGATGTAAATTTGAGCCTTTAATTCATAGCCATTGGGTTGGGTGCGTCGTGTGTAAAACGCCTATATTAGTTTAGCTAGTGATTATGTACACATCATGGTTTCATGAATGAAGAACAGGGAAAAAAAGGGGGAGGGGGGGGGGGTATGACTAACCATACCATGCTGGTATGATCCAGCGAAAACAATGCAGCACAAAAATGATAATTGTCAAAATAATTGTCAGCTACGTGATCTAAATGATGATGGCGAAAATGTAATATAGTTAGAAAGAGGGAAAGAGAGAGAGAGAGAGAGAGAGAGAGAGAGGAGTAGAAAGACAGAGAAAGAGACAATGAGGAACAGAGAGAGAGAGAGAGAGAGAAAGATACGCAGAGAGAAAAAAAATTTAAAAGAGAAAGGGGAAGAAGAAGAAGAAGAAGAAGAAGAAGAAGAAGAAGAAGAAGAGTGATTAGAAAGTTAGAGATAATTAAATCTACATATTTCCATACTTTAGACCAGTCTTTTGTATTGCTGCAAGTAATCAAAATGTACTTGCTGTATTTATATCATAAAAATCATTTGCAAAAAAAAAATAGTTTTAGAAAAATCATTTTTGCAGTAAATCATACTATAGCATTTTAAATTTGAAGCGATACAAATAAACATTAATTGCAGATCATGGAACTTAAAACAAAGAAAAAAAATGACTGGGAAAATGTGAGAATAACACGGAAAATGTATAAAGAAATGAGTTTACATAATAAGAAAATTATGAAATACTAAAAGTTTGCCAAAATCTGCTTACTAAGCTGATATCAGGATAGTGAAGAAAAGAGGTTTAAAGCCCCTCTCTATAACGTATAGCTAATTGCGCCCTCTATATGGCAAACAATGCCTAATCGGTGCTTGTTGGTCCCCCATGATCCTCTTTTGCCTTATGTTAATTGAGAGCTGATTTGATGAGATAACCACTTGTCGTTGACCTTGCAGTGAGGTCTAATCCCTCCTGGCCAAACTTGTGCAGACGAGCTTTAATGTTCGTTGTTCTAGCATTCATGATCCATTGTTCGATAATTATGTACCCCGGGATGTGCCCATCAATATCTCGTTAGGTAAAAAGAGAATGGTTTATTTCTATTTCATCAGCTTTCCGTTAAGTGAGTTCTTCTGAATATTAACCACGAATGATAAACGACTTACTATCCGTTTTGTTTGATTGATTGAGGTACGTCATACGTATCCTTCATTCCACATCAGTTTTGTCTTGCTAGCCGAGAAAAAATAGAATTTAATTTTCTGTCTTTTCAAGGCAACAATGACGCCGCCATTAGCAGATTAGAAGTCCGGTAATTTACACGACTTGCTTAGAGAAGCGCCACGCCATTGCGTCATACAACACCAAAATGACTCGAATCTCTATCATGTATTATAGTGTATGATCGGACGCATGCAGTCCTTTTCTTCATTATAGACGTCGGGGGAAAAACTCAATTTCAAGAAGACAATGATTATTAGTTGACAATGTATTTCTCGTTACTGGCATATTGTACCATAAAGAGAAATTGATGAGAGATGATTAAAATGTCACATAGTTATGCTTTTTTAATTTGAAAGATGATTAATTTGGAAGATGATTCCATTTGAAAAGCAATGACTATAATATGCAATTATGTTACTACATTGTATTTTCATCAAGGAAGGAAAGTAACGATATATCGAAAAGAAGAACTATCTCCAATCCAGAAAATTGATAATTATAAATACATACATAAAAATGCCTGTTTGTATGCCGTGATCAAGTGAACGTTGTGTATAGAGTTAACAAAAAGATCTATAATCATTGCATTACTTTTCAATGGTGTATTTAGCATAGGATGTATCCGGCTGCGTGCCCGGCATTCGTTCTTTTCTTCTTCAATGAATGAAATGTGTTTAATAAACCGCATCAAATTGTTTCATCACTCGATTCACTCGTAAGTATTCGCGGATAATTTGAGTTGAGGAATGCATCTTAATCAATTGTGCCTTTTTATTGATTTGTTATGCAATCCAGAGATGTTAGAATAGCACCATGTTGTGATATTATCAAATAATCTTCAAGATTATTATGATGATAATTTCAGAAAGACGAAAACCAGGGGATAGGATGGATGCGTGTATAGACTCACAAATGTTTGCTCAGTTTATACTTGGCACAGGGCTATATTGAAAGGGGATATGGGTAACAAGGTGGCTCGAGCATGCCACTGTTTGAACCACAAACCTAATACAAGAATACCATATCATAAGGAACGTTACTTCTCAAGTTGAGCATCTCCAATTTTAAGGAAAATAGAGAGAAATACAGGAAAAACAAAATATCATAGTTCCGCCCTACCTACAGGAAGAAGGTATACTGAAAGTGATCCCCTTCAAACTTCCCATTAGCGTAGAAATTCAATAAACATATCAATATAATTAAGGTTTCGCCTAATATCGATCAAGACGTTTCACTCAATGTCCGTTCACGAAGCTCAAAGCTTGATGGCAATGCTTTATCTTGGATTTCCCCAATATTTGAGAGTACTTTTCATTGTAATCTCATTTTATAATAATATGATGTTGATATAGCTGGATGCTAAAAAGGGCTCTCATCGGTTGTGACTAACAAGTGGTGTACTTCACCAATCAGTAAAGAGCTCGTGCACAACGCCACGGGCGTAGCCAGGGCCCAGTAATGAAGGGGAGGGGGGCATTGGTTTAATGGGGGCATCATTAGTCTTACTCGGTAAATGAAATGCGAGAGAGAGAGAGAGAGAGAGAGAGAACAAGGCCACCATAGATGTAGGGGGGGGTCGTATCATTTCCTTTAACATCTCCCTCATCCGTCCTCTCTGTTTTTCTA